AAAGTCGAAGGGAGTTACTCGCGGTTTCTCCTTGACTAACGTAAAAGCGTTGATTGAAAATGTAACAGCGTTGATTGAAAGAAATAAGAAGATGCGCAACCTAATGGGCATATGTGACAAGACTGATTTGATTTGCCCTTACGTCTCAAGTGCTGTACGGTGGAGACACCAATCGTTCTGCGGTCAACGCATAAAACTTATTTTCTCTAATTCGGCCAGCGAAGGCATATCGTAGACGGTGTGGATCTGAAAGCGACAGTTTTGCCATTATTAAAATGTGTAATATCTGTAATACATTTGACGAAAATATCTTTGGATGAAAAATCCGTGTTTATGTATTGAAAACGTATTCATGTTAAACATAGAATAAATAACAAAAATAAAAATTCTTTTATAGGTTCTGAGTATGTTATGTCGTATGATCGAACAAAGTCGTTAAGTTGGCTTGGAAATGATGATTATTGACATTTACTATAATATTTTACATATGAAATAACAGCGATCTTCATTTCCACGTTTTTATTGACGTCGTTCTTTGTTTAATCATATAATATTATATTAAATTGTATAATGATAAAAAAATCCGTATTATTAACGTACTGTACCCAAAATCCGTAAATCTACGGATTAATCAGTAGTTTTGGCAACACTGTCACCGGCAACCACTCACTCTGTCAACTGAAAGCAGAACTACGGTATATCAGTATCAGAGAAATATAAAATAAAAGACATGTCATTTCCATAGTCAAAAGTAGGCAAGTACGTTAAACCAGGACCGATAGTAGCGCACCCTTGAGTCCTAACTGAACTAATGGAAATATGACAGACGTAATCGGTAAAATAGGTATCTGCACTTCCTACCAGAAAAAAAGGCGGGCAGTTTAAACATACAACAACAGACAAATAATATGCTACACAAAATAATAACAAAATTCCAAAATTCAAAACAAAATACAAATAATTTGCTGTCATGTCACTTGTCAATCTTGTCATGACATGCGACAGGTAGCAGGTGGTTACGCTTTGGAGCCATAACTGAACTATGCAACATTCTTTTATTTACTAAACACTCTTTTATTTTAGTTACTTTCTGTGCCCGACGCAACTATTGGACATTGTATACAATTGAAAGACTGACTCATTGGCGCCGCACTAGCCTGAGGAAGATGGTCTCACTCTCTCTCCTGTCGATTCCATATTTGAAAACAAGATCAGAAAAGATCAGATGAATAGCCAAACAAAGTGCCTTAACAAAAACAAAACCAGAATCATCAAAACAAGAGAAAGAATGCATCTACCAGGCACCTTGTGACTGCGGCGAGTCGTACAATGGAGAGACAAAACGTCCTCTAAATATACGACTTAGCGAACATAAAAAACATACGCAAAGAGGTGAAAATATTTTGAAAGAGAAAAACCGTAAATTCACATCCTGCGTATTACCTACAAACCTGATATTTTCATTGCGTATAAAGTTAAGGAATTTCGAGTCAAGTGGTAAACTGTGTCAAAAAATAAGCAATACTTCTGTTTCCACATCCCGCGTAGTAGTTGTAAACCCGTCGAGAAAATACATAGGTAAAAGATAAGGAGAGAAAAAAAGCAATAACGCTTGCTAGGAATGCCACCTTCACACCAAGCCGCCTGTCGTCCTGTTGGTAGGGATGGGGTTTCTTAAAAAAATCTCGATACTTATTGGTATGGCTAATATCGATATATCTGATAAAATCTAGTAAGATTTTGATAGACAAAACCATGTTACGTCGTTATGTGAATTGCTACATATAATATAGGGTGTCTCATAAATAAATGCTTTTTTAAGGGGTAGTAGATCTGGACAAAAGAAACATTTTTGAAGTAAAACTTCTTTACGCCCGTTGAGTGTAAAAATTCAAGGCCGTGACACACGGCCTTGGATGACGGCCGCGACACGCATGCGAGACGGCCGTGACGCATGAGCTAGCGAGAGGAAAAGTAATAGCGACAGTGTCTTCCTTTTGAAGTAAATATGACATGATTCGGGGTAGATCTACCCCTTTGTGAAACTATATGTGAAATACGCTTGTGTACCCCTATGTGAAATAAGCTTGTGGCGACACTGGAGAACGATCTGTCCCATACGCGGCTAAGAAAATCACAATAATAAGCTTGAAACTGTACCAACCTTGATTTCATGCATATTTTCATCGATAGGTTTGTAGCTTCTGAATAACGGTCTAGGTAAAGCATCTAGCTCATTTGCCAGCTCAGAATTAGAATTAATTTAGAGTTAGTAACTCGCATTTTCATTGGAGGACACTGTCATATTTATTTCAAACCAATAACCAACGAGAATATTCCTATAATTTAATAAAATTACTGTAAATCACTATAAATAATGACTTGTTTGTAATTGACCTGTACTTTCTGTATTATTAACCCGCGGTAAATGATGGAGATAAACAATTCTGATTAATTAAAATTTTATTTTAAGATGAAACTTTTGTTAACAACATTCTGAGAATTCGAATAATGAATTGAATAATGAGTGACATCTGTCTAAAAAAGAGCGATTTAGAGTGACAATTTGGTTATGTAAAATTTAGTTACAATTTTGATTATGCAAAAGAAATACATATTCTATGAGTTTAGTGGTTGCCTAACAATTAACATTAATTTAAAAATAAATCCCCAACATGAATAATGAACAACACATTTAAACAAAAACAGACCACAGACTGCACAAAACAAATTGTTGGCTAGTAGAAGTTAGTAGTAGTCAGAGATATAATGTAGTAGTATTTTGGTTTAATGGCCACAGCTATCCGGTCAGTGTAGCCTCCCTCACATGGTGGAGCCTCCATCACATATTTAAATACTCTCTTTGTAGTTGGACACATTGTTGTCTATTGTTGGCTATGCGGGCCCAAGTTATCCCTGCTAATTTCCTAATATCATGGTCTCATCTCAGGTTTGGTCTACTTCTAGGTCTCTTAATTCCTCGTGGATGCTGTAATTTTTGTGGTCCATCTGTTGTCCGTCCTTCTTGCCAGGTGTCCTGTCACTTGAGGGATTTGATTTTGTAGATGACATTACCTGGGGTTTTTATATGTTAATATATAACTGTTAATATATTCTCCAACTGTTTTTAATTCTTTGTTGGCCCAGTCCAGTTGACGGAAGATTTTTTCTAATGTTGCTGTAAACAGCTTTGGAGATATATCTACCCTCTCTACTCCTTTGCCAGATGTGAACTCTGAGTTTGTTTTATATATCATTACTCTTGCTTTGACTTCTTTGTATCAATTAGGCGAGAGTTTTTATATAAGGCCTGTCTGTCCTTGTTTCGTTAGGACTTTAATTATTGTCATCAGTGTCAAAAGCCTTCTCAAAGTCTATAAAGACTATGGCTAGTGGAAGTTCGTGTGGAAATAAAGCTGGCTATTTCCAGTATCGATAATTTTACTACGATATATCTATATCTATATTTGAAAATGATCGATATGCCGTTGCCGTCCCTACCTGTCCAAGCAAAGCAACCTTCCACCGAAGGGAATTTTTCCAACAGCGGCTCGATTGCCGCCGTCTTTGTCGTTATTCCAAGGCGAACACGGCCTGGCGCGTTAGAAAAAAGAAACCCAAGTCGATTATTGCGACGACTAAAAAATCGTACGAGTCCGTTTACGAGTGCTTGAGAATGTATGTGTGTGGTCAGAGGGAACAAGTTGCTAATAGCAAACGTTCAGGATAACATAAAAGAGAAATATAACTTCTTTACTTTCTATGCTTATGCAATGAATACAATTGGGTACTAAATACTATGCTTGCCATAGGAGCTCACATGGTGTGGAATACTGTATATGTCTCAATAGCTTCTTTTAAATATAGTATTCTCTATATACATAATGCTGCTATAAAAATCGGAGAACTATTGGAATATGTAGCGGAATTCGGTACCTCGGTAGTTTGACTCCGAAAAAGGCCAATATCGACTCTGAAATTCACCACAGAATTAGCATTCTGGAAACTATAAGACAGCGTTTTCTACAATCATGACTTGGGCACCAAAAACGAAACTTGTTATATGGAAGTGAAACCTGGGTGCCCCACGTCCGTGGTGGGTTCATCTCAGGAAATGAACCCGCGGTTCAGTAAATACTGACAGTCAGGTTTAGGGTCAGGGTGACAAATGTCAGCTGACTGCCACTGGCGAATGATTTAACACGGAGAGCTAATATCAGCTTTGGATACCTGTATAGCTTGGACATACAACACACAACATGCGAGATGCGACATTCCAACATGCGAGAGGTAGCCGACGGCTCTGGATAGAGTATGGCACTGTAAGATAGGGTTGCCAACTTTCAAAATAAAAAATAGAGGCCGAGAAAGTAAAAAAGAGGCATAGACGAAACATTTTTAAAACCTCACCGAAATGTCTAGTATTTACCAAAAAGTTATGTTAACGGTATACGATTGATGGTCTTTCTTACTTTCTTAAAAATTTTATACCCAAAACTTGTTAAAATAAAACAAACCATTTTCAACAAAACTGTTTTTCAAAACATAAGCTAACAGAAAATAAACATAAAATAGTTAAGCATGTTCATCGCTTCCACAAATTTCTTGTTCATAAATATTTCTTCATTTTTTTTCTGTACAAACGAGTGGGAGTAGCCAAAGGCACAGATTAACAATTTTTTAAAGCATTGTGACGATAGACGAATATTTTTTAGATTTTGAGTTTGGTATGTAAAAAAGAGGACAGTAAGATCAAAAAGAGGACTGTCCTCTGGAATAGAGAACGGGTGGCAACCCTAGTGTAAGAAGATGTAACAAATACCTATCAATATGTATATATCAATGTATCTATTATTTTTACATAAATATCCATAAGGTTTTTTGCACAATATAATATAATATGCATAGTGTATATATTCGCTAATCGAAATAGGTCGTTACAATTAGCTGTTCCGATTAAATAGTTTGCACAGTACAACGTTCTTTTCTTTTATTTCCAGTTCGCATAGAGCCTCGCCTCCGTCCGACGATGCGCCGCCCCTCGCCACGCCCCCATCCGCACCCAGCTGATCCTCGGTAATACGAGCGCGACGCGACGTCGTCATGTCGACGGACATGCGCCCGCCGAACGTTTCGGTCACGCCCATCAACATGGAGTACGGCGGCGCGCAGCCAGGCGGGGGCGTGGCCGAGCCGCCTAGGACTCGGAGCGCGCCGCACCCCGCGGCTGCCACGCCACTCGCCAACGGCGCGGACATCGATGCCGAACTGGCCAGGATCGAGTTTCAGGCGGTCAATTTGAGGAGCAAGAAGAGCAAGGCGGAGGAGCTGCCGAGGCCGATGAGTTGGGAGGGGGAGCTGAGCGACGGCGAAAGAGACGGTAAGTTGAATAATTGAATTATCTGGATTATACAGAATTATTCCTGTTTTAGATTAAATATAGTAAAAGATGCAGCACGCCGCGACAATAGCATTAGGAGTTTTGTCCGCGCAATAAATCCGGTATTTGTCGACAAAAAACGACTTTGTTTTAGTGATGAGCGATATTGGTCTTGGTCTTGGAGTTGCAGAAACAGACAACACCAAGACTAGCTTTAGATTTACAATTACTTAGATATACTAGCTTTAGATATACTACATACATACTAGCTTTAGATTTACAAATTAATCAGGACCGACCATTGCAAGACCAAAACCCAGTATACAAGAGTCTTGCGGTCTTGCACTTTTTTCACGTTCCTTTTTCATAAAGGAAAGTAACGAAATTTTTATATATTAACTTATCCACCAGTGGCGGCTTGTGGTTATTATTGTAGGGCGGTCAATATCTAAAATTATTGCGGCGATTTTTTTTAAGACGCGACCAAATTTAATTGGTTTCTTACAAAATACTTGTACGTTTAGTTAAAGGAAAATAAATCGAAAAATAAATACAAATTATGTAAAAATGAAACCTACCACCTACCCTTACATTTTTAAACAGGTGATCTAGTGCCATTTCACTAAAAATCCAGTCAGTCAATGTTCTTTACAGAAATTTTCCACGGTAGGATTTAAAAGACACTTAAATAATAATGTCACAAAAATATAAATACATACCTATATACACATACACATTTCTAAAAGTTTTATTTCACATTTTTTTATATTTTAAGTCAATTCTTTCTCTAAACGTTTTTCGAAATTTAAGCAATTGTTTTCTTTTAACCGCACGATTTTACAAACTAAACACCATATGTTGTCTAATTGAAAATATCTATTCCAGAATTAGTCAACAAGAGTTCATCATTTATCCAGAACCAGAAAAATATGAATTATTACCTGATCTCTTGGTTTCACCACATATATGCTTAATTTGATTTATCATCACATAATTTTACTTACTGGTATGTTTTTTCAGGTATGTGTGTGGATGAGAGTAACGAGCCAGTTCACTTGCCCGAAAACTTGTCGGTGTCGGCGTCCAAACACAATTCAACGTTAGATTTAAAGGACAGTCCGGTGCTTCGACTGAAACAACCTCCAGCAAGTAGTTATTCGTTGCATAGTACGCCCTCTAACTCGCCTTTGTTGAACCAGAGGCATCCTGCCACCGGAGTGCCTATTATTAGCCATAAGGTACGTTTTTTTAATAGTTAAATGGTTTTAAGTCTAAATAATTTTGTGATATGTTTCCAGGATCTCATGCACAAGGCGCTTAACGTGCCACCAACTCCCAGTCCAGACTCCGCCATCCATTCGGGTTATTCCGTCTTCAGTTCGCCAAATCAGAGCCCGCTGACGCAACGTCACGTCAACCTCACGCCCAATCTCAGCAGGAATAACTCGGACGCTTCTCATTCCAGCTGTTGCAGCTATTCCAGCGTTTCTGTATCAGTTTCGCCTACGCAGCAGTTTTCACCCACGCATAGTCCCATCCAGGTAAGAGTCAAATCCTTATACAAGTTACTTGTTTCAGTAGCTACATTCTCATTTATTTAAGTACCAAAAATAATTTGTATTTATTATTATTGTCTATTTCTTAAAGCTTGATATCATTATAAATGCAAAAGGTGTTTTATTGTGTACAGTGTGACATGCCAAATACTCGTATAACAATAGGTCCATGAAGATATTCTTAGGTACTGACCGCACCAGTGTCGGGTATTAGGGTTTTAAGATTTATTTTAAGTTTTGTTAAAATATATTTTGTTACACAACGTAAAATAATATGATAATTGGAATACAAATGTTTATTTAGCCGTTATTGGTATTTTTAGTATTGGATTATACGAGTACACTCAATTATCGTACATATTAGTGAAGAAATCTAGTTTTAAGTTTTTATTCTTAAATGAATATATCAGGTTACAAACCATAAATAATATAACTACAAAAAACAATGTCACACGTTTAGAAAACCATTTCAATTAATGTTAAGTATTTACAATAATTAAAATACATAATATGTAATTATAAATCATCCTCAATGAAGTCAGAGGGTTCAGAATTTCCAACTGAAATTAGCAGAGATTTTACTGTCTCTCCCAAGAGATTGTCAAGATTCCACATTTTTTGGTCCTCTTTTATGGCGTGGTCTATGGCATTTCTTCAATTTTCGGCAGAGATTTGTGTTATCGACATATTCATAAGTGCGCGCACATCTTTTAACTTAAACTTTGTGTTTTCTGAGTTACAAATCCTTTCATTTGTGCCCCTATAAGTTCGATGGGATTTAATTCACAATGGTAGGTTGGCAACCGAAGCGCATTTATTGCACACGCTTTAGCCATTTTGTCAGTAACATATTTTTTAAACTGTGATTTACTACCTACCTACCCCAGCAGATGCGTACAATTTATCTTAGATAGGAACTATCGAAAACAGGAAATTGCCATCTAATCCGATTGTTAAGCAGCACTAAATGCGATCAACTCAGTAACCATCAATTCGAAGTTTGGCAAAGTCGATTAGGCAAAGAAAATGAAGTCCTCCTACTCTGGGTGCGTGCTCACTAAGGGATAGAAGGCAATGAAAAAGCAAATGATCTAGCTAGAAAAGGGGCGAACACTCCACTAACTGAACCAGAACCGTTCTGTTTTCCAAGCGGGAACCAACTGAAAGCGGAACTGAAGAACCTGGAAGACTCCATCCGTAACTTGGAATGGGTGTCCTCCAACGGTCTAAGACACTCGAAAAAGTTCCTCAGAACTTACGGCCGAGAAAAATCAAAGATTTTCCTTGATTTAAGTAAAAACAAACTTGGGATTATCACGGGGCTTCTAACAGGACATTGTCTCCTCAACGAACACCTGAGGCTGAAGCTGAGACTGAGAAACAACGGCGAATGCAGATTCTGTGGGGAAAATGGAGAAACACCAGAACACCTTATCACTGAGTGCGCCGAGACGACGACCGTTCGTGCCATGAACTTTGGTACGGCTGATGCCGGGGATGGAGAGCTGGCCTCTGTGAAGCCGTCTCAGATACTGGCTTTTGTCAAAACCTTGGGACTGTATAATGAGTTATAACTCGTTATAACACAAGAAAGTGGAACAATAGATCTGAAAGGTCGCGGTGATTAACTCCCCTCCTAAACATTCTACATTCAAGCTGTGATTTGCTTTGCCTAACTATTTGTCCAGCTCCTTTTTCAACATTCCCTTTTTGAATGAAATATCCTTTTGAGATAATCAACCACATCAGTTTCAGATGTTTATTGAGTTTGCAATGCCCTGTTAGTAGATAGTACTGTTTTGACAGTCTTCCTGTCTTTGCTGGTCTGCGATAAATTTTAGTACTTTAATCTTTAAGCACCCTTTGGTACTTGCTGCCACTGCGTATTATACCGTTGCACATTCCGACCTACTGATATAATAAAATTAAAACTAGATATTTCATTAAATAATTCAATTACGTTATAAATTTTAATAAACCAGTTCAACAAAGTGGAAAACAAAGTCTAAAATGGCCGTTTTTTCATGTTTTTTCTACAATTAAAATATAGAAAGGCAACCGGCTGTTTGGTTCAAATCAGATTAATTGTTCTTTCACATGGCATAATTGCGCCTTTATACATACTTTATTGTAATTAATCGGCAATTATCTAATAATGCAAATTACGTTGAAAATTGAATGCATAGAATTTAATAACGGAATTGCCTTAATACCGAAAATAATGTGTGTTGTAATAATTCATCGATTTTTATCAGGTGCGGCTTGTCAGTTTTTTTATTTACATGTAGGGCGAATTTCAACAAAATATGTTTATCGTTAATTTGCTAAAGGTCACGTCGAATATTTAGGATTTACAATATAGGTTTATTACATACAATTCACTATATATCATTTACATAGACCTAATAACTAGCAAAAAATTGAACGTTACTATTGATAGTATAACAGTTTGTTGTGTGTTTCTTATTACAGTAGTACAGGTTTGCCTATCGGAAAATAACATAAGAATATTATTTTACGTACTTATTTTTTGTAACAGTAAATGTCCCAAAATAACAGTTTTGTACATCGGTCAGTAAGCCTGTTATTTTTTAGTAACAATAACATTTCACACTGTTTCTGCTGTTATTTAGAAATAATAGTTGTGCCTATCAAGAAATAACAGAATCCTGCCATTTTACGCTGTTATTTTTCAATAACAGTGAAGGTTCTAAAATAAAACTTTTGTCCATCAGTCAGTAATAGATGCCTCTTATTTTAAGCGGTTATTTTTAATAACAGTAACACTTCTAACTGTTTTTACTATTATTTAGAAATAATAATTTTGCCCATCAGGGATTAACAGAAGTATGAAGTATGTTATTTTTTAATTATAGTAAATGTTCCAAAATAACAGTTTTGTACATCGGTCAGTAGGCCTGTTATTTTTTAATAACAGTAACATTTCCAACTGATTCTGCTGTTATTTTTAAATAACAGTAAAGGTTTAAAAATAGCACATTTTTCAGTCAGTAATAGAAGCCTCTTATTTTAAGCTGTTATTTTTAATAACAGTAACATTTCTAACTGTTTCTACAACTATTTAGAAATAATTTTCTCCATCGGAGATTAACAGAAGTAAGTTATTTTTCAATTATAGTAAAGGTTCCAAAATAACAGTTTTGTGCATCTGTCAGTAAGTCTGTTATTTTCTAATAACAGTAACATTTCTAACTGTTTCTACTGTTATTTAGAAATAACAGTTGTGCCTATCAAGAAATAAGAGAATCCTGCCATTTTACGCTGTTATTTTTCAATAACAGTAAAGGTTCTAAAATAACACTTTCGTCCATCAGTTAGTAATAGAAGCATCTTATTTTAGCTGTTATTTTTACAGTAACATTTTTAACTGTTTCTCCTATTATTTAGAAATAACAATTTTGCCCGTCAGGGATTAACAGAAGTATGTTATTTTTCAAGTATAGTAAAGGTTCTAAAATAACAGTTTTGTCCAGAGACCTGTTAGTTTTAATTACAGTAACATTCTAACTGATAAATATTTACTTCTTAGTATTTTTATTCAGTGTAATACCTTGGTAGATAAGTTTATAATGCCCATAGGCGTTATATCCGTTTTATGTATTTGGTACCCAAGTAATAACGCTGAAATAATGATATAATAATAAATAATAAAGGAGTTACTTAAGACAGTAGCCTTAAGAAAAGAAAAAAAGTTTTTCTTAAGTACTACCCAAATACTTCCTAGTGTAAAACGCACGCATATGTGGTACCCAAATAGGTACGACATATATACGCAAGGTACCGCCCTAAATCATCAAAAGAACCGACAGTCGAGCCGGTCCAGTATTATTTACTTATAGTCCGTTCTACGACAATAAACTGCTATTTCGTTTTTTTTTCGATCGATATAGAAACTTGATTGTGAGATTTTTTATTCGTACTAGGCGACCTTTACTGTAGAGTTGGTCATATTCAAGACACGTACTACGCAGTGGTTCATATTTGTTATTAAAAATATTCCTGGTTGTATTGTCATTTCCTTGTTTCTTATATCATTCTTTTGAAGTCGACATTCGCCGCCGAAACTTTATATTAATATGTAATGGAATGTATAGTTCTTCTCGCGTAACTTTTCACCATTTGGACATTTAACATCATGTACAAGGTGGGCCAAATTGGACGCTTTTAAAGGAAAACACCCTTTTCTATAGGAGATAGACGATAAACTAATATCGGTTTCTTGAGCTCAATTTTTATCAAAAACATGATGGTGAAAACCGCACATCGATATCTGTTACCGTTTCGGAGTTACGGGGTGTTTTTCAAAAATATGCATTTTTAACAAATCTCTGTAACTTTTTTGCTATGGAAAATTTTGTATTTTTATGCAAATATTTCCAATGCCCCTTTTTACGTAGAATTTAATGGTTTTAAGTATAATTTTTTAAAAATTAATAATTTAAGAATTTTCGACAGAAAATTTGATTTTTTATATGGGACACCCTGTATATATTTAATTCATTGAAAAAAATTTAAAATTACCTTACCAAAATTAGAGCATACTTGATATTTTGCTCGATTCCTCTTCGAGATATAGAGTTTTTAAAAATTCGCCCACTTTGAATAAGTAGGCTTTGAACGGCGCCGGCTGTAATGCAAAAAAAAATTAGCTGTGAGCAGAAATTAAAACGAAAATAATATTTGCAATGAGAGATGCAGAATTTTTAACAATTTAAATTATATTTAACAACATCAACGCATTTAAACTACACTCACCGGCAAAAAAACCGGCCACTAACAACTAGTCCCAATTTCAAAGTTGGGTTTCTCGCGAACCACTCATTAGATTTTGATGATTTTTTTGTAAATTGTAAATTAATTCCTTCTTAACGGATGCTACGTGAGCAATTTTTATTCCGAATTTATTTTGAGCATATACAGAGCACAACAATAAGACGAAGTTTTTTGCCCAAACTTTGTAACACCCTGTAGGGTGCAGCAGTTGTTGTAGTAGCTATTGCTCAATCAAGTCACATTGTAGCCTCATCTTTTGTGAGCATTTTGTTTTTTTTTAATCACGACATTATCTCTGCTTGTATTGGAGATACGCTGCTTTGAAACAAACGCCTCGAAAAAAGCTTTAAATCAAATCAAACATCAGAACGTAGACGTAAACTAACTAAAACATAAAAATAAAAAAAAGGCAAAGAAATTTTAAGGGACTAATATCTAGTGTCCACTCGTCTGGTGAAATTTCCCGTTTCCATATACCGATTCCAGGCATCCTGGACTGTTGTTCGAAATATACCCAGGGTATCGGAGACATAACGTTGACTTCGGCCATCCCCAATTAAAGCCACAATACGAGCAACATCCGTTACAGATAATGGCATTTTTTAATTTGACAACCGTTTTTCTCATATTGCAAATATTCATAAATCCGTTTTCGCCTATGTCGCCTTGATTATTTACACATAGAGCTTTCTGCCTTTTCCGAGATGAATTCTGAATTTTTCCGAGACGTTCGTTTTAAAACAGCGTATCTCCAATACAAAAAGAGATGGAATGTGTGTCCTCCAACGGTCTAAGACACTCGAAAAAGTTCCTCAGAACTTATGACCGAGAAAAATCAAAGGTTTTCCTTGATTTAAGTAAAAACAATCTTCGGATTGTCACGGGGTTTCTAACAGGACACTGTCTCTTCAACGAACACCTCAGTAGGCTGAAACTGAGAAACAACGGCGAATGCAGATTTTGTGGGGAAAATGGGGAAACACCAGAACACCTTATCACTGAGTGCGCCGAGACGACGACCATTCGTGCCATGAACCTTGGTACGTCTGATGTCGAGGATGGAGAGCTGGCCTTTGTGGAGCCGTCTCAGATACTGGCTTTTGTTAAAGCCCTGAGACTGTATGATGAGTTATAACTCGTTATAACTCGAGAAAGAGGAACACACAATAGATCTATAAGGTCGCGGTGATTAACCCCAGCCGGGGGTTAATCACAAATTCACTTTACATACAAAAAGAGATAATGTGGTGATTAAAAAAACAAAATGCTCACAAAAGTTGAGGCTACAATGTGATTTAAGTTAGCAATAGCTACTACCGCTGCTGCACCCTACAGGGTGTTACAAAGTTCGGGCAAAAAACTTCGTCTTATTGTTGTGCCCTGTATATGCTCAAAATAAATTCGGAATAAAAATTTCTGACGTAGCATCTGTTACAGAGGAATTAATTTACAATTTAAAAGAAAAATCATCAAAATCTAATAAGTCGTTCGCGAGAAATCCAACTTTGAAATTGGGTCTAGTTTTTAGTGGCCGGTTTTTTTTGCCGGTGAGATATCTAATAACAATAAAAATAAATAGTAAACCAAGACATGAGATTTAGCTACAGGTGTTCGACATGTCGACTGTCTTCTGTTATGGACAGACGGGACCGTTTTTGAACATTTCTCGCGGAATTCATTAACTCAGTGGGGGTGAAAGATACCCTCGCATAACCGCTAAGTACTTCTATAATTCTTGTCTAGATTATACGGGCAATTTAAAAATAAGAACTTTTATTCTTCCGCAAAGATCCATAGGCGCTAAGTCCGGCGGCCAAGATGGCCAACGGCTGGGATCTTGGCTAGCTATTCAATTATTCTCGAAATTGACTGCAAAAATTTGCTGATAACTTCAGCGTTCTGAGGCGGTGTCTCATCTTGCTGGAAAAATATGTTTTCTAGTTCCAGTAGGGGCAGATCATCTATAAGGGGTCCAAAGCCTACTAGTTTAAAGTGGCGAACTTTTAAAAATTCTGTATTTCGAAGGGGACTTTAACAAAATATCAAGTGTGCTATATTTTTGGAAAGGTAATTTTAAGTCCTTTTCAGTTAATTAAAAATATACAAGGTGTCTCTCTCTCTTTCTCCCAAATAAAAAATCAATTTTTCTGTTGATAACTTTTAAATTATTAATTTAAAAAATATATATACTTAAACCATTAAATTCTATGTATAAAGGTGCTTTGAAAATACAAATTTTTCTATAGCAAAAAAGTTACAGTGATTTGTTAAAAATGCAAATTTTTGAAAAACACCCCGTAACTCCGAAACGATAACGGATATCGATGTGCGGTTTTCACCATCCTGTTTTTGATAAAAATTGAGCTCCAGACGCCAATATTAGTTTTCGTCTATCTCCTATAGAAAAGGGAGTTTTTCTTTAAAAGCGTCCAATTTGATCTAACCTGTACACAATGGATTACATGAAAAATAACTAAGGTATGGATACAAATATGTGTTCTGTGACAATGGATACAAGTTAATATTTGGTGGTTCTGAGGAAGACACTGTGTTACGGTGTTACAACCCTGTTATTAACCTTGTTACGGTCCGTATTAATGTTATTTTGATTTTTTAAGATATCTATAAATGACCTGATATCTTTTTTCCCAGTGCAAATATTTCGTGTACCGCCACTGGCTCGAGCGTGTATTTTTTTCCGGGCACAACTTGGAGTCCGCTCCGGTACAACGAACGGGCGATCGGTCGACATTCCGGAGCTTTTGTAGCTCGACACGCCCAAAGCCGTTCTTACATACGTACGTTCCACGTACGAATATCTCTATCTACCATATCTATCTATATGCAAAAGGCGGCGTAAAAAATGGCTCGGCAACCTTGCCTTGTCTAATAACCTGGCGCGCTAGGCCGGCGACTGTTGCTTAGATTTTTCTTTCGTTAATCGATGTCCAGCGGCGCCGCGACAGGAAAGACAGCGTGAAGAAACATGCAATAATAATACCGTATGATCGAAAAAAAACGGTGTCCAATTGGCTTGGAAATGAACGTCGATGACATTCCCCATATAATTTACGTATAAAATGACAGCGATCTTCATTTCATAGCCATCGCTGACGCCTTTTTTTTCGATCATAATATGGTACTGCGTTAGATTTGACAATTCGTTCATTTTCACAATATAGTCACCGGTACGAAAAGGGGGCACCTTAAAATTTTTTTCGTCTATTTTTATTAGAAATGTTATTACGTTACGAGTACTCTTTTGGTTTCTAAATATACAGGGTGTTTCAAAAAACATGTGCCATCTCTCTTGGGGAGATTCCTCACGTAAAAATAAGATATATTTTTCATATCAACATAGGTCCGATTCTGCTTTGTTTTGTAGCTACAGGGTATTAAAGTATTAATATTTTTTCGATGTTATAATTTTCTTCAAAATACTTTTAGCGTTTCGAATGAAATTTTGAGGATAAAAGTTACTATAAATACGACATATTTTAAAGCTAAAAAAGTGTATATTCACCAGGGGCGTGCATATAGTAAGTACTCTTTGATTCCTCATCAAAAAATATGAAGAAAAGTTCCTATAAACATGGATAGGGAAATGCAATGTTCTAGAGTTACCGTATGTTAAAACTTGTTAAAATCAGGTTTTTTGTAATTATCTTAAATACCATTTTTTTTAAATTGCCGTATGTATAACCAATAGTAATAATATTTAATAATAAATTAGAGGTAGAATATGTAATTTAGTAATTTTGTTTTAATTTTATTAATAATTGTGATTAATAAAACTGCGTTTATCTCATCCAGGAGGCCGAATTCGACAAAATATCAAGAGATTACTTTTAATTGGGATTAAATGGCCCACACAAAAAAGTCAGTGGCGCACATGTTTTTGGTTTGATCCCTGATAACTTTATTAACACTTTTAGCATTAAAATATGTAGCACTTATAGTAACTTTTACCCTCAAAATTTCATTTGAAGCGCTAAAAGTATTTGGAAGAAAATTATAACAAATCGAAAAAATATTAATACTTTAACACCCTGTAGCTACGAAACAAAGCAAAATCAGACCTATGTCGATATGAAAATTAAATCTTATTTTTACGTGAGGAATCTCCCCACGAGAGATGGCACATGTTTTTTGAAATACCCTGTATGTATAGCTTAAAGATGTTGTGAACCATCTTGAGTACCTATATTTTCCTAGTACTAGCTCCCAGTATTTATAATAAAAAATATATTTTGGGATAAAACTTAATGGATTACAAAACACTAAAATAACCTTTTATTTTTCTAGGGTCGACATATCCACAATTCCCTTCACGGTAGTCCCTTACATCACGGCGTATTATATAGGAGTCTACCCGAAGACACGCCCTCCGTCCAATCACAGTACGAGCACGACCCTGGAGGCGGGGCCTGCGAAGAGACTGACGACAAAACAGGCCTATTGCACGCGGCGCTACCTGCGCAACCGGGCATTTCCAGGTGAGGGCGTGGCTTTATTCGAATAACAGTTGTTTATATTTTAATTAATTATATTTTTTCGTAGGCAACAACTTATTAATAGTCCCTGTCCAATATGCGGTGATAAAATATCAGGGTTTCATTATGGAATTTTTAGTTGTGAGTCGTGTAAAGGATTCTTTAAAAGGACAGTACAAAATAGGTATATTATTGAAAAAAATATATGAATAAAACTTATAAAAATAATGATCTTGATGTGGCTTTTAGGAAAAATTATGTATGTCTGAGGGGCGCTCAATGTCCTGTGACTGTAGCTACAAGAAAAAAATGTCCTGCGTGTAGGTTTGATAAATGTCTACAGTGCGGGATGAAATTAGAAGGTAACTAACATTATTTTATGTCAAAACTGTTTGCTCAATTAGCAACCCAATCAGAAAATGTAGTTTTTTCATATGTTTTTGGCTTTTAAAATTTATTTAACTTGGAAGGATATTGGTTATTTTAAATCTAAATTACATAAGGTTAACTTACCATGATATTCTTTAGATACTACTTTTCAGTATCGTTTATGCAATTTTTACAATTGTTAATGAATATTTGTTCCATTTTATTTAATTATTTTTAACGTAATTATTGCAAACGTACAACTCATCGTTTTTCTTTTTTCTTAAATCCAGTTTTCTACAAAAAATTATTATGATTAGTCATGTTTGAGGTTTGTAGCGTGTATTACCAATTTTCTGTCAATATTATTAACTGGTACTCTATTTGAAGCATAGAAACAAGCCTAGAAAGAACTGCAGGTTAAGACGATTAAGACTTATTTAAGAAATATCTTTGTGGTTTTGGATGCCTAAATGGACAAACAATGTTTTAATACGTTAAATTGCAGTTTTTCTGTATTTTTAGCAATACGAGAGGATCGTACACGAGGAGGTAGATCAACGTATCAGTGCTCATACTCGCTGCCACCTTCGTTAACTACGCAGACAGAACTCAGAGCCAGCACTACTGATTTAAGGTATGTATAGTAGGTACGGCATTTTCCACCACACAATGAACAATTTTCAGCTATTGTCCTATTCCTTCTTATCTTTTTCAAAAATCTGTAATAACTTGGAGACTGAATCTTCCATATGGCTCTTTGTCAATAGCTTATCACTGTCTAATACAAAGAACTACACATTTATAATCTGTACATGACTTCTTCTGTTAATGCCATCAGCATTAAATGCCTATTGAGACCACTTAGAAGTAGACCCCCTACAGTTACAACATAGCTAATAATATTTTATCCAAATGTTAACTGTTTCTTTAAGAACATATTATATACTTCATAGCCATGCAGTATATATGTTAAAAAGGTACTATTTAAAAAATACAAATAAAGTGATATATTTTCTAGGCAAGGTCTTGGCGAACACCATCCAGCATTCACAGTGAAACTGGAACCTCCTGACGGAATGTTGTCTCAACATAATAAGAGAAACATTTCACCTGGTTCCAAAGGAGTCCCGCCATTATTGCAAGTAAGTTTTGGAAAATTATGAATAAGTATCTCAGAATTTAGTACAGAAAGTTTTTTTTTGTTTTTAAGTGCGATAATATACTTGCACACTAGAATAATTTAAGTCAGAAATAATGTTTAACTATTGTCTTTATATTCAGCACTGTAGTCATTAATCAGCTTAATAAAACTACATTAAATTATTGTTCTTTCTTTGTATCATAATATATCATAGATATAATATAATACAAAGAAAATATATCACTATAATCAACACAATCCACTGTCTAATAAAAAATATAAAATTTTATTTTGTGACGATTTGACCATAGACATGTTTAAGAGTTTAAGTTTATACTAGCCCTGGTCACTTTATCTCCGTGGCCTGTACTTTAATGCATACGACAGAGATAAATATATACGACCACAGTTGACAGAGACAAAATAAAAAGCAGCATACAGTGTTGCCGGTTAGTACGAAAAATAAAATAATAAACGAAGATAATATATCTAAGCTATGCAATAATGCTCATTTCTGTTAGACAGTTGTTTAAGAATCTATTACAGCTGTAGTAAAATGAGTAACTAATTGTGAAAAATAAAGTTCCAACCCTAGATGCAACGTTTTTTGTAAACATCTACGTCTGCCGTTTGAAATTTTGATGCAAAATCCGGCAATACCGCATAGAAAAAATGTACCAACCTAACTTTTATCTCTTTTTAATACATTTGATTTTTCATTTAAGCTGCCTACGTCACTGTCTTACACGTTAAAATCCAATGTTTAATTTCTAGGAAATAATGGATGTGGAGCATCTTTGGCACTACAACGAGATGGAACTGAACAAGCTCAGTACTGAAGGCCATTTGGGCAAGGAAGGAGGTAGTGGTGCCGTTCATAACCTCACTAATCACCCCCTGTTAGCCGGTACGGCACTGGCCGGTTCCACCGATACCAATCCGGATTTTGTAGCTAATTTGTGCAATATCGCCGATCATAGACTGTACAAGATTGTGAAATGGTGCAAAAGTCTTCCATTATTTAAGAATATTTCGGTAAGTTAATTTATTTTGTTGATCAAAAAAATCGTTAACTTTTTGAGAGTCGCCGGTTTATTTTCTTTGTTCTGTTTTCTAAAAGATATAGACTACCTGTGTTGCCACATTAACAAGGAAGTATATTTTTAACTTAATAAATAACTCGTGAAATTTTACACCTTTTCTATCAAAGGGGTATTGCAAAGATGCGTTATTTTTTAGTAGGTGTGAGGCAGTAACCTTATTATGTCACATATTGTCAAAATAATCTGTAGATTTTTCTTTTATAGTTCATATCAAATACACTTTAAGTCACGTGATTAAGCTGGACCGGCACAGCGTTGCCCACTTTTACATATTTTCTTTTAATCAAAATATTTTAGAAAACATAAAATAAATTTATTATAAATATATAAACAGTTATTATTTACATCAACAAAACTCACCTTCTTAAATAAGGTAAAGATAAGATTTTATTAAGCTATCTTGTACAGTTCACACTAAAAGAGGTTCTAAAAAGAACAATGTTCGACTGCCAGGTCTGCTAGTACAAATTTTTAAGCTTAAAGTATCATAACATAATTCATTTAACCAAAAACGCGTAATATAAAACTAAAATGTCAAGAAATAAATAAATGTGGCAACTTTACATTTTTCACAGCAAAGCTACCACCTGAATCCCCAGCGGGAAACTTAAATTCCAGTTAGTCAGCCCGACGCCGAATATGTCCATGGCTGGCAACAATGAATTTAAAGATCGCACCCTCGATTATGTAACTAAAAGTTTAATTGATATCAAATATAGATTAATTATGTGATAATATTTTGAAATATATATATATTTAAAATAGGAGATGATTTCTTTTAATATTTGTTTTCAAAAACGACACTTAAGAATTTAGGTCATGTACGAAGTGGTAACGTTGCGTAGTTTATGTGCTTCTTAATACACTGTTAAATAAATATTCAGAGGAATATGTTAATCTAAGCTCTAAAAATTTTTCAAAAAGCCATAGGCAAAAAATATAGAAAAAATATAATGTACTTTTGTATTAGAATGACAGAAAACAACTGTCACTGTCTTATTTATATTTTGTTGATCAGATTACAACTTATACTGTATTTACACTTACCGCATTTTTGAAAAAATTCCATTTAATTGACAAAAATTAACTCTTCAGATCGATGACCAAATTTGTCTTCTCATCAACTCCTGGTGCGAGCTGCTACTCTTTTCCTGTTGTTTTCGTTCAATGACGTCACCTGGAGAGATTAGAGTATCATTAGGGAAAAGTATTACCTTAGCGCAGGCGCGGGATATGGGCATGCAGGCCTGCATAGAGAGAATGTTGAATTTTACAGAACATCTGAGGCGACTTAAGGTGGATCAGTATGAATACATAGCCATGAAAGTCATCGTTCTTTTGACGTCTGGTAAGTTTTTAAATCAAAATAATTGAGCATTGATATTTATTTTATAATTTTTACAGATACTTCGGAGCTACGAGAAACAGAAAAAGTTCGTGCGTCTCAAGAGCAAGCTCTTAAAGCCCTCCAAGAGTACACCCTGACGCATTATCCCGAGAGCCCGGCGAAGTTCGGCGAACTTCTTCTGCGAATACCCGAACTTCAACGAACGTGTCAAGTGGGAAAAGAGATGCTGACGATAAAGTCCAAAGACGGAGATGGACCCAGTTTCAATCTGCTGATGGAGCTCCTTAGGGGGGATCACTGAATGAAAACACAAACCTACAGACTTCAATGTGCCTTAGGGTCGAATTTTCAAAGAAGGTTCAGTTAACTGGCAGTTAGTTATTCAAAAGTTCAAAACACATTACACAAATTTTACAACGTTGGGCGCCACAGAAGGTGTTTCAATATGGCTGACTTTATTTCAGGTTGACCGGTTACTAGTGTAAAGTTGTTCTATTATTTTTTATGTTTTTAGTCTGGAAATGATTGCAAGCTGCACAAGTAACTATTTTTGAAGCTTCTTTCTGAGATTCAAAATAATTTCATTGTAATTAAAGCTGCTCGTTAGAATTTAAATAAGAAATTATATAAAATAAACACTGAAAACCTCAACAAACTCAACAAAAATTCAAATTTGTCACATAAGAAGTCAATTAGAAACATTTTTATAACAGCCTTTGAATAAAAAGATTAAGGAATGAGTATAATGCTATCCATGTATTCATGCATGGTAGACGGAGGTAGGATCCTAGGGTGGAGATCCTTGACAGTTCTGTTTGACGATTCATTGGACATATTTGAATTTGATTTGAAATTTTGTGGGTTTGTCAGTCTTTAATGAGCTTATATTACTTACTCTACAACTGGTAGGTAGAGGGTTGTTTGGAGGTAGTAAATTTAGAAGGAAATTTTGTGGCAGAACTCAAATTAACAGTGACACTATTACGATTTATCGAAAAAGACTGTAAAATAGTTGGTTGTGTAGCGTGCGGTAGATCTCGGTCAAAAATCGAGGGAAATAATGGAATAACTTTTCACTAGTAAGTGACTATCTAATATACATACATGTAGTAAACCGATCATTTATGAAATTCACTTAAAATTAACTAATTATATATTTTTCTTGCATTTCTGCTTTTATTTACTTCTTGTCAAAGAATTTAGATACGTCAATTTGACTTACCTCCTTCAGTAGTGTATCGGATGTTTGTGTTAATAAATAATTATTATAACTTATCTATTTTTATTAGAATTATATATTTTTATAATAATTTTAATAACTATCAACATTTATTAACAACGTAAAATAAAACGACAAATTATTGAGTCTACGTTACATTATATTTTTACACGTTTTGAATAAAATTAGAACGGCACTAATAAAGGCGTCACCGTCGCGGTCCTTCTAAGTTTTTTGATATGCACCTTCCTTTTTTAATCTTTTTATTCAAAGATAACAGCACCCACAACATGAAAAACAAGCATAAATTCCCGCTCGCTAAATAAACGCCCCGCATGCTGCCAACAATCTGCCGAATTTTATCGGGGCGGAAAATATTTGTGGGAGTGACACTACTAGTTTATTTATACTATTATAATATCCAACAAAGAAATTGATCGATTTAAAAATTGACTATAAAATTCTGATTTCTGCTGCCAGTTAACTGAATTTTCCGATATCTCAGAGGCCCATAATAAGCTTATGGTGGCGGGCTCATACTTAACAGACAGTATTTTGCTTAATTGTATTTTTAATTTTTTTTAGGTTAAGTAAAAAAACGTACTTATTTAGGTGTGTTCAACACACCTGCTTCATTCAGTATAATATGAGGAAAAATATTTTGAAAATTTTAACGAAAAAACTTTATTGTTAATAAATCTGAGAAAATTGTTTTAATTTTTGATAAAATTATTATTGGTTTTAAGTCTTGTTGTTTTTTCTTAATGTTTGATATAATTCCTCATCCAAAAAAAAATCAGTAAAACAATATTTTTACTGCCAAATGTTAGTGTCGAGTATAAAAGCTTATACAGGATGTCCCAAATAAGATGAGAGAAAATAGAAAAACTTCAGAAAAAATAAAGAAAAATAACTTTCGATCTAATCAGAATCATTATGGTAGTTTATGACATACCTTTTTATCTGTGACATCCTATAGACACAATTTATAACTGTTTTATAAATGAGTAAGAGATACTTGTAAATATACATATATTTTTAAGTTTATATTTTGATATTCATGAATATACACTTGCCGGGCTAGATATATACATAATAAAACATACAACTGTGACGTCATCTATATTATATATACCTACGTACGTGTGTATTATTTGTTCTAGTTGATCTATATATAAAGAAAATAGAGAAAATTTTATCGTGTTGATAGGTGTATATTATGTAATTCCAAGACAACTTATTCATCAATGTGATATTTAAATACTTGCAAAGTCGACGTATACAGGGTGGTCCACTTTTTAATAGCAGGACTTTAAGCAGTGTATTGACTCTTTACGAAAAATTGGACGACTCTGTACAGGGTGGATCAAATTCGACGCTTTTAAATGGAAACGCCCTTTTCTATAGGAGATAGACAAAAACTAATATCGGTGTCTGGAGCTCAATTTTTGTCAAAAACATGATGGTGAAAATCGCACATCGATATCAGTTACCATTTCGGAGTTACGGGGTGTTTTTCAAAAATATGCATTTTTAACAAATCGCTCCAAAAACATTTCCAAAGCACCTTTTTACGTAGAATTTAATGGTTTAAGTATAATTTTTTTAAAATTAATAATTTTAGAATTATCAACAGAAAATTTTATTTTTTATTTGGGACACCCTGTATATTTTTAATTAACTGAAAAGAATTTAAAATTACCTTTCCATAAATATAGCACACTTAATATTTTGTTATAATCCCCTTCGAAATACAGAATTTTTAAAAGTTCGCCACTTTTAACTAGTAAGCTTTGGACCCCTCATTGATAATATGCCCTTAATGGAACTCGAAAATATATTTTTCCAGCAAGACGACGCACCGCCTCTGAACGCTGAAGTTATCAGCAAATTTCTGCAGCCAATTTCAACAATAATTGAATAGCTGACCAAGAACCCAGCCGTTGGTCGTCGAGGCCGCCTGACTTAGTGCCCATGGATCTAATCCTATGGATATATTTGCGGAAGAATAAAGGTTCTTTATTCTTCTGTATAATTTAGACAAGAATTAGAAATACTTAGCAGTTAGGAGAGGGTATCTTTCACCCCCATTGAGTTAATTAATTCTGCGAGAAATGTTCAAGAACTGCCCGTCTGTTCATAACAAAAGACGGTCGATATGTCGAACACCTGTAGCAAAATCTCATGTCCTGGTTTGCTATTTATTTTTATTGTTATTAGATTATATTAGTTTAAATGTGTTGATGTTGGTTAAATATATTTGAAATTGTTATAAATTTCTGCATCTCTCATAGCAAATATTATTTTCGTTTTAATTGATGCTCACAGCTAGAATTTTTTTGCATTATAGCCGGTGCCGTTCAAAGCCTACTTATTTAAAGCGGGCGAATTTTTATATATTCTATATCTCGAAGAGGAATCGAGCAAAATATCAAGTGTGTTATATTTTTGGAAAGGTAATTTTAAATTCTTTTCAATAAATTAAAAATATACAGGGTGTCCCATATAAAAAATCAATTTTTCTGTTGATAACTCTTAAATTATTAATTTTAAAAAAATTATACTAAAACAATTAAATTCTACGTAAAAAGGTGCTTTGGAAATGTTTTCATAGAAATACAAAATTTTCCATAGCAAAAAAGTTACAGCGATTTGTTAAAAACGCACATTTTTGAAAAACACCCCGTAACTGCGAAATGGTAACAGATATTGACGTGCGGTTTTCACCATCATGTTTTTGATGAAAATTGAGCTCCAGACACCGATATTAGTTTTCGTCTATCTCCTATAGAAAAGGATGTTTCCATTTAAAAGCGTCGAATTTGACCCACCCTGTATACATACCTCACTGTTTCTTAAATATTTTACTAAATGAATTCCTTCAATCATCTTTTAAAATCATCTACTTTACAGGGTTTAATAACTAAGTGTTGAGGAGATTATTGATGAAAACTATTGAAAGATGTTGTTTATACAAAAAAATCATTGATCAAACATACATTTCTCCATTTTCCATATTGCGTTGTGAATATGTCGTAAGAAAATAAACAGAATAGGTTGTACGATGCTCAACATGATTTTTAGACTGCTTATATTTAATATAAGCTGATCGAGCTTATACAGGGTGTGCCAAAGAGTTCTCAAATAATTCAAAATTTTTGAGTTATAGAAAAATGTTTATACAGAATATTTTTTCCCATTTGTTGTCAACATTTCGGCACACCCTGTACAAATATGATGTATTTCTCTAATACAATTCCATTCCAGTGTGTTACTGCTGGATAATATTTCGAAAATTGGCACTTTTATGCAGTATTATTTAAGAAATGAGCTCGAAACTTTACGCTACGTGAACTATCACATTTAAGAATGCAAGTTTTCGAAATATTGTCCAGAATTTGTTGAATCTTTATTATAATTATGTAGTCAGACTACGATGTTCTTAAAGACTATTGTTATAGATAGTCTTATAGGAGTTTATTTATTCAAATATACTTTTTTATATATACATTAAAAGTTAATTTTTTCGCCCTTTTTTTGTCTTCAGAAGATAATTTGTGTTTGATGGTCAAAAATATTTATGTTTGGCCAAAATTTTATCCTGTTGAAAGCTAAAAAAATAATGATTTTAAGTTTTCACTGTTTCACTTTGAATTGTCTAGATATTTTTCGTTTGAACGTTTGAACCAAAGCATTTTCATACACATTGTCAAGTGTCAAAACCAAGAAAATTGACGTGAGAAGAAGTATGGAAAACTTAAAAAGTTATTTTTTTTATAGTTTAATTTATTATTAAATAGCTGCTTTCTTCCCTCAATTTTATATATCAAATGCTAGAACTTTTTTCTTTATATTGTTTAAAGATTTATAAAGTTTATACTATGCCTTTTTAATTTCAATACAATATTTTTTTATGAAACAATTAATTTTTAAAAGGTTTTACATATTTTTGAGATATTTTGATTTATAAAGAGGGAATAAATCAGCTATAGTTTAATAAATAAACTGTTGCCAAATTTATATTTTCGAAAAAGTTATTTTTGTTAAATTTCTCTAAATCCTAACTTAATAAAAAATTATTTTATGAAAAATCATAAGACTTATAGGGTGGCCTTGAAAAGCCGTCGATATATGCGGCCCAAAAACCCTACACTAAACTTTGTACTCACTTTTTGAAACAAATTTATACAAAAGAGACATTTTGTATTGAAATATATATTATACGTACCATTAAAGTGATTTTATTTGATTCCTCTCCTTATAGGTATTTGATATTGTAAAAACCTTAAATTTACTCAAGTAAAAACCGTACTATCAACTACCTATGAACTTTCCGAAATAGCAAATAGCATCGTTTTATAATAAAAACGATAGTTAGTTGTGTCCTACGTCCTACACATTTTTCTGGCCAAATTTTCTCATGCTGAATTTCAAAAAATGTGTACCTATAATCTAAGATTTTTATATTTGTTCAAAAAGATTAAAATCAAACTATTTATAATTAAAAGAAATAGAAGGTACTTACGTCTCAAATCTCAAACAGTTAGGAACAATCAGAGGAACAATTTCCATGTTTTTTTTATCACAAAAAAATGAACTTTTTCCAAAAAAAATCGTTAAACCCTTGATTATAATCACAGATTATAATAGACAAGGGTTAAACCATAGGGTTAAACTTTTGATGGCGACCTCTAGTGGCAAGAATATAAACTTGTTTTATTAGAATTTGTCTGTTAGAATTTAGAATCTAGTTGTGATCTAGAATCTGTGGTCTGTGGTTAGGTTAGAATTTTAAAAGTTATCAAAGTTATAAAATAAACTGAAAATAAATAAGCAAATAAACAGTAAATTTGTGCAGTAAATACAAATTTCTACTTAGGATGTTTTGTGCTTAGGAATTATCAAGATCAAGAATAAGATCACCATTTTATTTCATGGATAAAAACAAAGTTTTGGATGGCTATCTGGAAAGACGTCATTTCTTAAACAACATTAATTTGTCAAGTGTTCCTGACTGTTCTTGTAATTTTCTCATAGAATTTTCCATGGAATTCTCTATTCTCTAAATGTAAAAAATGGCTGATCCGTTGAGTTTACTTCGTCAGTACAACATAAACAAAAAGGAAATTATAGAACGAGATGGCCAAATTATATTCGGAGAATTTTCCTGGCCAAAAAATGTTAAAACTAACTATCTTAAGTGGTAAGTAGTCCAGCTTACATTTTCAGTTTATTTTTCTCCTAAATGTGCTCTCCCTTTTTGCATGTTTCGCCCAAACATATTTTCTATAATTTATCGTTCTCTCACAATATTATCTTAATGTATTGTCTTATTATTGCAATAATTTACTGTTACATTATTAAACATAGGGCTATGTATAGTTTTACAAACTATATTAATTTGTTTAAATGTTCATAGGTCAGGCAAAAATGTGGCTAGAAAAGAATATTATACCTTGGAATGTTTGTTATTTCTTTTGAAAAACTTGTCCGTTATTCACCCTGTGTATATACGTAGAGCAGATGCAGAAAAAATACCTGTAGTACGTAGACCTGACAGAAAGGAGCTACTAGCATATCTTAATGGGGAAACGGCAAGTTGTCCAGCAATCAATAAGAGCGCCCATTTTGAACTGCCTACTCAGGTAAACTATCAATAAATTTTCTTCAAATTTTAGTTTCAAAATTTCGAATACTTTAGATTAAAAGGTCTACAGATTATGATGAACCAGAGAGTATTGCAAAAAAGCGTCGTTTTGAGGATACCCATCTGCAAAAAGTTGGAGAAAAACCGTCTGCACGTTTGGACGCCCCAAAAGAAGAATCTCTCACTGTTTATAATATTAAATCTCTTTCTGAAGTTATGTCAGTAGAAAAAATTGCTGAAATCAAAGCCAAATGTTTGGCCAATAAGAGAAACGCTATTAAAGGTAGTTGTTATTTAGTTTTATCAGGAGTATTTTACTTATTTTTCTTTATTTTATTTGTAGGTATTTGTGCAAAAAGTTAGAGAAAAATTGGCTGTGCGTTTGGACTAATCTAAGGTTTGGACGCCCCAAAAAAAGCCTCTGCCCATTTGTTGTCAACTTTCCCTGTACAAATATGATGTATTTCACTATACAATTCCATGCCAGTGTGTTACTGCTGGATAATATTTCGAAAATTGGCACTTTTATGCAGTATTATTTAAGAAATGAGCTCGAAACTTTATGCTACATGAACTATCACATTTAAGAATGCAGATTTTCAAAATATTGTCCAGAATTTGTTGAATCGTTATTATGTAGTCAGACTACGATGTTCTTAAAGACTATTGTTATAGATAGTCTTATAGAGTTCATTTATTCAAATATACTTTTTTAAATATAGAATAAAAGTTATTTTTGTCGCCCTTCTATTGTCTTCAGAAGATAATTTGTGTTTGATGATCAAAAATATTTATGTTTGCAATCAAAATTTTAGCTTTATCCTGTTGAAAGCTAAAGAAAGTAAAGTTTTTATGTTTTCAATGTTCCACTTTAAAATAGATTATTAAAAATCTTATTCAAAGCTAAAACCTTAAAATTTACTAAAGTAAAATCATGGTAAAAATCGTACCTTCAACTTTCCTAAATAGAATCGTTTTTATAATAAAAACAATGCTAGCAATAATTTAATGTGTCCGGCACATTTTTCTGGCCAAACTTTCTCAAGCCAAATTTGAAAATAAATGTGTATATCTATGCGGTTTTTATATTTGCTCAAAAAGCTTAAAATTATATATATATAGGCTTATTATCTATAATAATTGGAACAAAATAGTACTTACATATCAAAAGATAGTTAACAATTTCCCTGTGCAATTTCCATATTTTTTCACCACAGTTTTTTTTCTCAATATGAGTAATCCACAAAAAAATTCGTTAAATTTTTGTAGCGATCTCTGGTGGAAAATAAATAAATTTGTTCTGCTAAAAGTTAAAAATTATAAATACAGATTTCTACTTTTTCTACTTATGAATCATCAAAAAAAAATATTTTTGTAGGATTTTTATGAATAAAGGCAACGAGATGTAGTGATTTAGATTCTTTTTAGTTTTAAATGGCTATATCAATGGCTATATCTTCAAACACAGAGTTATGAGTTAAATAATTATAAAATGGAGATAAAATAATGTTATTTGACGATTTATAACATAACAAAGTAACAAAAGAATAGATGGCAGTACTAGAATTTAATTTTTGACGTTTGTTGTTTTAGGTGTTGCCTAAATACATCTTGTCACTGTCACTGTCAATTTTTTGGTAAATTTTCTGTTCAGAAAATTTGTAAGAAAATGGCTGATCCGTTGAGCTTACTTCGTCAATACAACGTAAACAAAAAGGAAATTATAGAACGAGATGGCCAAATTATATTCGGAGAATTTTCCTGGCCCAAAAATGTTAAAACTAACTATCTTATGTATGGGTAAGTATTCCAGCCTACATTTTAACTTTATGTAACCTCACTTGTAAGTTTCTTTGAAACATATTTTCTACCTTACAATACTATCTTAACGTGTTGTTTTATTTATTGCAATAATTTACACGATAAAATACTGATAAGGTATTAAACAGAGGGCTATAGATAGTTTTAAAAACTTCCTTTTTAAATGATTATAGGTCAGGCAAAGATGGGATAGGAAAAGAATATTATACCTTGGAATGTTTATTATTTATTTTGAAAAACTTGTCTTTTATTCACCCTGTGTACGTACGTAAAGCGGCTGCAGAAAATATACCTGCAGTACGCAGACCTGACAGAAAAGAGCTATTAGCATATCTTAATGGCGAAACGGCAAGTTGTCCGGCAATTGATAAGAGTGCCCCACTTGAACTCCCTACTCAGGTAATCTATCGCTAAATTTCCATGAACTTTTAAGTTAAGAACTTTGAATATTTTAGGTTAAAAGATCTGCAGATTATGATGGACCAGAAAGTATCGCAAAAAAGCCTCGTTTTGAGGACACCCATGTGCAGAAAGTTAGGGAAAAGTTGGCTGCACGTCTGGACGCCCCAAAAGAAGCCTCTGTCACTGTTGATAATATTAAATCTCTTTCGGAAGCTATGTCAGTGGAGAAAATTGCAGCAATCAAAGCCAAACGTTTAGCCAAAAAAAGAAACACTATTAAAGGTACGTGTTATTTAGTTTTATCTGGATTATTTTACACTTTTTTTTATTTAACTTGTAGGTATAGATGATATTGGTCAGGAATATGATATAAGAGCTATTTTGGATCTGGATGTTGACATTACAAAAGATATAATAAGCAGGGAAAGACAGTGGCGTACAAGAACAACTATACTACAGAGTACCGGGAAGAATTTTGCTAAGAATATCTTAGCAATGTTACACAGTATTAAGGCTAGAGAAGAAGGTTACTTAATTGTTACCTTTACATTCTGCTTTATTTGAAATAAAAAATTGTAGGACGTCAAAGACCTCAACCTATACAGCCTCCGACTATTACACCAAGGGCTACTCCAATTAGGCCTACGACAACTCAACCGTCAGTCTACAATCGTTATGACCAGGAAAGATTTAACAGACAAAAAGATGATACAGAAGGCTTTAAAATTGATACTATGGGTGGGTATTTAAGTAATTTCCGCTTGTAAATTTGAATTTATATGCATAATTTTTAGGTACTTATCACGGAATGACTTTGAAGTCTGTAACGGAAGGCCAGGCGAAGGCTAGGTCTCAACAGCCGTCTCAGCAAATCTCACAAAATCCTTTGCCTGCTGAATTTGCACGGCCTGCAGCTGGTGGGCTTCAAAAAAGAGTTTCTAGGACTCCTATTATTATTATACCAGCAGGTATGTTTAGATATATATTATTTATAAATATTATATTCATATCCTAGAGTTTACCTAAATATAGTGAAGCGATACATGCTAGAGAGCAATAATTCTATTCTCATTTTTCACATTTTTTTTAACAAAAAATTGAGACATACTTACTTGGAAGTCTACACTTACTTCTGTATAGCAATTCCATGACAATGAGAGTTGTGTTTCATTTTAATTCATAGACATATTGTATATACTGTCATTTCATCCATTTAAATTCAAACAAATAGTATAATCTCGTTGTAACTGTATATTTTAGGTACCAATTCATTAATCTCCATGTACAATGTGAAAGATATAATACAAGACATGAAGTTTGTTACCCAAGAACAAAAGAAGGCTATGGGTGGAAAAAGGGACAATGAAGTGTTGATTCAGAGACAGAAAAATGGACAAACTGTACCATACAGAGTGGTAGATAATCCTGCAAAATTGAGTCCCAGCGATTGGGATCGAGTGGTGGCGGTTTTTGTGATGGGACCTGCATGGCAATTTAAAGGGTAAGTTTGTTTTAAATCGTTGTACAGGGTGATCTAGTATTCCTAATTTTTTTCACTCCGTTTTTTGAATTACCTGTACTTATACAGGGTATCCCAGAAATAAGTGCAAGTATTTTAAGGGGTGGTACATCTGGCCAAAGAAACATATTTTCTCTTTACTATTTTTAAAATAAATTGATAATAACTGAGTTATTTAACTTTGAAAATTTAAAAAATAATGCTAACATTTTGAGAGCCGCCGCGCCGCCAGCAATCGATAATCAGCGGCAAATACCAAGCGATTACCCGAATCTTGGCTTGCTCTTCGACGCCCATTGTTGACACATCAACTAGAAAGATTTAAAATATGTACTTGCACTTATTTCTGGGATACCGTGTATACATACATTTTACTGATTTTTTTTATACAGGTATCCCTGGGAAACGCCTGTAGAAATTTTTGATAAAATCGCCGCATTTCACATTAAATATGACGAGATGAAAATAGATCCGAACGTAGAAAAATGGAACGTCACCGTCATACAACTGTCAAGGACCAAACGTCATTTAGATAGGGCCCATCTAATGGTGTTTTGGGAAAAATTAGACAAGTCAGTATATTTTTTATTTTGTTTATTTTCGAGATTCTTATAATATTTATTGTTTTCAGGCACATAGTGCAACATAAACCCCATCTTAGGTTCTAGAACATTCATATTGACATCCCTGTATATATGTATTATTCTGTAGTAAGTCAAAAAGTTTAATCACTATGGGAACTTTGACAAATAAGCAGTTCTCAACATTTTGCTTAGCTGATATGATTCAAAGTTCTGATGATATAAAACTTTTTGATCCTACTAAATACCGTATGATCATAGTATAAGGAAACTAGTAGTTTTACTCCTTGTCAAATCCTTTGTTCTTTTTCTGCCACTTTATATGACCTTGTTCACGCATCCTGTGACCATTGACGTAGCGGTATAGTCGTCGTCTATAACTAGGCGAAGTATAGTCGTGGCACTCGCCATAGTTTCAGAGAGATGTATTTAGGAAAATATGAGTTCACAATAAAAAAAAATGGTTATCGAATAAAAATTTGCTTGAAAACAGAATATTTTCACATTTCGTGTAAGTAACAATTCTGTATCTGAAAATCTTCTGATGGGAAGAAATGCGGAAAAAATATATATGACACATTTTTATATTATTATCTATTTCAAAGATTTTATACAACTTTTTTTAATTTAAAACAAGTTTAATTTTAACATTAATGTGTTTGTTTTGTACTAATATATTGGTTAGGGGATTTTCATTGGATAACTAATACATTGAACAACGCATTGTACTAAATAATAAAATAACATATTTAAACTTCAAAAATTACTAATAAACATTACAAAAATTTCAAAAGAGAAACGAAGCAAGAACAATGAGAAATAGCATCACTACTTTCTCACGTAATAAAAGATAATTTTTTAGTTATTGTTACCGAGTCCCGAAGGTACCGAAAGAACCGGGAATTAATAATTTCGAGTATCGGTTCTTTGATATCTCAAAAGAACCGGGAATTTCCGGTTCTGAACCCTAGTTACCATATTATTAAGAAATTACGTTTTTTAACTAAAAACTATAAAAAATTCCAGATATTTTTTCAAAAAAAAAATTGCGCAGAAAAATCCCTACCCCTAAAAATCCTTGCACTTATTTAAGACTCACCCTGTATAGGGCGATTCACGGTTATGGTACGTTATAGCGTTTCCGGAACCGGGGCTGTTTTTCGTAACGGGTAATTTCGGTACCATGCCTCTATAAAACCGGGATTTTCAGTTTTTTTGGGTACTTTCGGTACTAGCAAATTTTTGTTCAATGATGGTGCAATGCGTTAAACAGCAAGCAAGGGATGGTTGTCAAAAGTAACATCGATAAAAAAATTGAGGTTTAAATAAAAATAATATAAAATTATTAAGTAGGTAGTTAATCAGTCATAAGAAAATTAATCTGAGCACAAACATGATCACAAATGATTCTCAAAAAAAACTCAAAGCGGAACTCAACTGAAACGCTCTGCAGTCTGCCGATATTCGACAGATTGTAAAAACTGGCAGAAAATATTTGGGAGAGTGCAACTACTCTTTTCCTTCTACTATGGTATGATCGAATAGAAATGGCGACATAGCAGCCTGTGATATGAATATCGACGATAATTAAAAGATACATAAAAATTCGTCAAAAATAATATTTCAAGGCTGTGTCTGGATCTTTTACTTTTTCCTATACCTAATTTTGAATAAACCGGCCGAAATTTTCATTGATTGTCGTTTCAAAGGCTACCTACTGTAAGGACATTTCTTTTTGAACGTATGGTATAATGATTTTTTTGTATGTAAATAGAATGATTTGTGGTGTAAGGTTGAATGATTTTAATTATTTTATTTAAAGAAAAAATCTTATAAAAATTTTACTATGTAAAGTTATAAATTAAATAATACTTCATTTGTAAAAATAACAAAATATTTGTTATTTATCGAAGTTAAACCTGACTGGAACTTTGAATTTTTTGATAGTTTATCAAAATTATGTGTGTTGCATTATTTGTAGGTAGGTAATATAGTTAGTATATACTTTTACCAACAAGACGCTTTCTTTATCTTTAAATTTGTAAAAATAAAGTAATTTTTATAAAAAAAATTGATTGTTTTATTTACTGTACTGATAAAAAAATCTTACTGAAGTGAATTACTGAATGCAGTAAACTATAGCCTGTCCAGTGGAAGAATAAATAACAAGTAGTATGTCAATCTGAAGAACAAAGGATTGAACATATTTCATGTCGGTGCTATAGCCTGAGAAATGTGCGTTTTTTATACTATAAGTCATTTTTCTGTTATTACAGTCACCGACACGAAAAATGGACACATTCAAATTTTCATATTTTTTAAAGTTTTATATATTGCGTTCTAGTGGACCGATTTTAATGATTTTTTAAGCAATTTGTAGCTAAATTATTTGACTTTCTAGTGTCTCTTTCTAAATTAGAAATAAAAGTTGCCTTCTGTCAATAATTGTACGCGGGAAAACAAAATGTTGATATTTTGGGAAAATTTGAAACCATGTGGAGTGTTAACAAAGCAAGGAATTTAAAATTCAATTTATCATCTAGGTGTACCTTTTCTCGATAGTTTGCTTTTTGATTCATCCCAATAGCTTTACCTTTTTTGAAGATATTAGCTTTTGAAGAAGACATTAACATTTTTTCGTATTTTTTAAATTAAAACCATGCCTTTGCTTTTGGTCCTAGTCAACAGATCTATAAAATAGTGATTATGATTTATGTAATGTCACTGTCTTTGAAAAATTATTATTGTCTGTCGGGCAGTTACCACGCAGTTACTCTATAATAGCAGATATGGTTTTATGTCCAAAAGTTGGATCTCTACCATGATCAATTAAAGCAGCAATAGCCGATACTTCAGAACTTAAACCATTTCTACCATAGTAAACGTCAATACACAATAGGTCTGTTCGTTTTCCTGTTATTATCGATTCTGAATCGTCCTAGAACTCTCCAGCGCATGCGCAAATGAAATAATGTCTTCATATTTCCTTCTGCGCATACGCATCACAATTCTAGGACGGTTCAGAATCGGTAATAACAGGAAAACGAAAAAAGCTATTGATAATATATATGACTTTAAAAATCATGCAAATTTCTGACAGTGAGATTACAAAAACAATAAACACTATTTTACTATTTTATAAGTGTGTTGATGAGGACCCAAAATAAATGATAAAATTGCCTAAAAATCGTTACTGTGTTATTCAAAATCGAATATCTACAATAAAAATAATGCTATTAAGATGAATCCAATGTATCCAACTATTGAGTAACGACGTACCTAGATGATAAAATGAACTTGTTGCTTTGTTAACATATTCCACAGGGTGTTTAAAACTTTCACCAAAATATCAACATTATGTTTTCCCTCGTATAATTGACAGGTTGAAACTTTCATTTGTAATTTAGAAAAAGATGGAAAAAGATACGAAAACGTCAAATAATTTATCTACAAATTGCTTTAAAAATCATTGATATCGGTTCATTAAAACAAAATATATTAAACTTTAAAGTACATCAAAATTTTAAGGTGCCCGTTTTTCTTGCCTGTGAGTGTATATGGTACTGTAAATGTGGTAAAACCTAGGATAAGCGCGCTAAACCCAGGATTTACCAAAAGCATTAACTAATTAGGTTAGCCTGGTTATTTGGAGGGTGTTAATGCATTGGTTAGCCTGCGGTTATTTGGAGGGTGTTAATCTTTGAAGTGTTAATGCATTGGTTAGCCTGGTTATTTGAGGGGTGTTAATGCATTGGTTAGGTGGTTATTTGGTGGGGTTGGTTGGTTTTTACTACCACTTGCTCTTGGTAAATCCTAGGTTTTACCGCATTTCGGACATTTACAGTAACATATATAAATTATTTCTGCAATTTTTTGGGATATTATCTGTCAAATTTTTTTCCTATTTGTTGAACAGACTTTAGTTCGCGTCTGAAAGTAGTGAAAGTACCACTAATTGACAAAAAGAAATGCAAATATATCTATAGTCTTTCCATTGATAGAATATATAAGAGCGACAGTTTTCTGTCATTTTATTTTAAAAGTGGGTTGCTTTCTGTAATTTTTTGACTATTTTTTGAAACCCTCGCTGTACACAGGGTGAGTCTTAAATAAGTGCAAATATTTTTAGGGGTAGTATATTTTGATCCCCGAAACATGATTATATGAGGGTTTTTGTAGCGAAAAAAAATTGAAACTAAAATTTTTTGGATTTTTTTTAGTTCTTAGTTAAAAAACAATTTCTTGATGATATGGCAATATATGTAGTAGATTAAATTTACAAGAAAGAAAACCCAGAAAAGATCGAGTGGTTCACAAAATTTAAGCAAAAAAATATTTTTTTTGGAAATTTTCAAAGTAAAATAACTCGATTATTTTAGATTTATATAAAAAACGCTAAAGAATAGTTATTTTTTATATGAAACGATAAAATGGTATTTTATCGTCGACCGAAAAGATTAATTATTATTTTAAGGAATTTATTACTAGTAGAAAAAATATTGTGCTGGGTTGCGTTGGTTTGTTTCTATGTAATTTGACAAATAAATAAAGCTGTCTCTTTAGGTGTCAGTTTTAAGTGAATATTTTTTAATTCTCTTTCATGTCGATTGCTGATTGAATTGGAACCAGAAATGGCTCAAAACGAAATAAGTAAATTACCAACAGATATTCAGGCTGAGGCGACAAACGCCATATCTAAACTAGGTTACTTCCATTTAAATCCCGAATAACTTATGAAAAGGAATACAAACAATTTCAAAAATGCAAGCAATTAAAAACGTGCGATAAGAAATAAAGTTTTTAACTAATCCTCGCTGTTAAAGTATCATTTGATCTACCCTTGCGGTTAAAGTACTATTTTATCTACTATTTTTGATAGATATAAAGGCAATTTTAACAGTTGCTATGGAAAAAAAATGTTTCTTTTATCGAGATCTACCAGCCAGTACTGAGAATATTTGCACTTACTTAAGACTCACCCTGTATATCTAATATCTACCTATTCACTTTTGTTTGACATAAAATTAAACTTTATTTTAAAGAACGATTAAACAAAAGCTTAAAATAAACAACCATGAAAACAATGCTAGAATCAGTTGATAATTCAAGTCTTAAATTTTAATTCCTTTTTGGAAGTTGAATTCTAACATTCTTTCTTCTGGACTTTGCATCAATGACCAGCTGAGCCTGTCTTTTTAAATATCCCCTAGACGGCACTTCTTCTTCATCTTCGGAACCTATAAAGTAAATTATTCATATTTAAGAAATAGGTTGAATATGGTGATTAATGGTGATAAACCTGGAGGTGGTGCCGGGGATGGTGATCCTGTCATTTGAGGTTGAGGAGTTTTGCGTATCAGTCCGCTATAAGGGGCTGGAAGATTATCTTCTGGAACCTCTATAACTTCCTAAATTAAAAAAAAATCTGTATTTCTTGAAACCTACTAGTAGAAAATCTTCAAAATATAAGTCATTTTTTCTAAATACAATTGCATTGATCCAACGGAGATCAATTTGTCTGTATTTTACTAATGTCTCATCATCATCATCCTTTTTAGCTTATTCAACCATTTCAAATTTTGGTGTAGCCTCCCTCACATATTTAGGCACTCTCTTTGTATTCATTGTTGTCTATTGTTGGCTATGCGGGCCCAAGTTATCCCTGCTAAATTCCTAATATCAGCATGGTCCCATTTCAGGTTTGGTCTTCTTCTAGATCTCTTAATTCCTCGTGGGTACCATGATGTAATTTTTGTGGTTCATCTGCTGTCCGTCCTTCTTGCCAGGTGTCCTGCCCGTTGCCATTTGAGGAATTTTGTGAATGACATCTATTACCTGGGTCTTTTTTCGTATACACTCGATCTGTTCTTATACGGTCTCTCGTGTTAATTCCCAGCAAATTTCGTTCCATTGAGCGTTGTGTAACCTGCAGGTTCTTTATGATGTCCGTTTTAAGTGTCCACGTTTCGCATGAATAGTAGTACACATTGCTCGAATGTTTTCTTCTTTCGATAGAGTGCATTCTAGATTTGAATATGACTGAGTTTCTTTTATAAGTACTCCATACTAACTTCATTCTTCTGTTGATTTCTGGTGGTAGAGATCCCGAGTTGTGTATTAGTTGTCCCAAATATACAGGATGGCGCACCTCATTCGCCTCGGTTTATTATACGAAAACGGAAAGATGTAGAAACAAAATATTTTATGGGTATATGTGGGGAGGTAATCTGCACAATTTACAATTATTTTGAAATGTACAGGGTGTTTCAGAACTAAGGTCCATACCAAAGTTATATTTTTTCTTATGGAACACCCAGTATTTTATTTCATTTTTGGATTCTTGTGCCCAAAAAAGGTATTTATTATAAGGGTTAAATATGTTTAAAATCTTTGGTTTTTGAGATATTGAAAGATATTTAAATTTGCATGCTACGATAGAATAGATTATTAACACCCAGTACTTTTCAGAATTAGTTGTTGTGCTGAGTTTAAAGGTAGAGAAATAAACTTTACAGAAAAATATTATTCCTTCCTTAAATGTATACGGGGGTATCAAAAATTGCTGGTCTATTTTAAATATTTATTTTACATAAAAACTTCGTTATTTCAAATGCAACACTATGTATTTTTTTAAATAAGTCGAAGCAGATTTAAATGCTCTTTCAAACTATATTAGGGTTTCCTATACCTATCTGGCTTAGATTTTGAAAAAAAGCGATTTTTCAATAAAATTGAAATCAAGATGGCTAGTGTTGTCATGACAAGTTTCTAGTGACAGTTAGTAGCCGTTAGTAGCTATTTTCAAAATCGAAATTAGTTTATGGACTTATTTAAATTTATACCAATTTACTTTTATTTAATTTACCTACAATAGTTTAATAAATAATATTTATTAAATATGTGTTTATTATTCTATGAAGAAAAACGAAGAAGTAGTCTTTGAATTATTTTACGATGACTTGTAGATGAATGGATTTTCTATAAAAGAGCCAATTAGGGCAAATTCATTTTCTTTACTTCCAACGACAGGTTTCTGCCTAATAGGTTTTTTATGAACCACACTACCAGGCGAAATAGGACAAGAAGTTTTTCAAAGAAACTCTTATCAGGAAGATTCCTATTTGAATATCTTTGAGCATAAGCCCTTGAGGCCAAGAAGCAATTTTCCTCATAAAATAATATCACTAGTAACATATCTATTCGTTCCGCCAGCAGATACTGCTTTATTTTTCTTGATAAAATAATGAATACTTACTTATTAAAGTATTTGTAGGTAAATTTAAGTAAACTGTTATAAATTATAAATAATAATGTCCATAAACTAATGTCGACTTTGAAAATAGTTACTAATTGTCACTATAAAATTGCCATGGCGACACCAGCCATCTTGATTACAATTTTATTTAAAAATCGCTTTTTATTCAAAACCTGAGCTAGATAGGTATAAGAAACCCTAATATAGTTTGAAAGAGCATTTGAATGTGCTTCGGTTTATTTAAAAAAAATACAGGGTGTTACATTTGAAATAACAAAGTTTTTATATAAAATATATCCTTAAAATAGATCAGCAACTTTTGATAGCCCTGTATAAATTTAAGGAACTAATACCATTTTTCAGTAAAGTTTATTTCTCTACCTTTAAACTCAGCATAAGAATTAATTCTGAAAAGCAATGTACAGGGTGTTAATAATCTATTCTATTGTAGCATGCAAATTTAAATATCTTTAAATATTTCAAAAACCAAAGATTTTAAACATATTTAACCCTTATAATAAATACCTTTTTTTGAGCCGAAGAATCCAAAAATGAAATAAAATACCGGGTGTTCCATAAAAAAAATATAACTTTGGTATGGATCTTAGTTTTGAAACATCCTGTATATTTCAAAATAATATTAAATTGTGCACATTGTCTCCCCACATATACCCCTAAAATATTTTGTTTCTACATCTTTCCGTTTTCGTATAATCAACCGAGGCGAATGAGGTGCGCCACCCTGTATAGAGGGTGTCCCAGAAATAACTGCAAATATTTTAACTGGTAGTCTATATGTGATAGTTTAACCCCAGAAACACGCCTATGAGGTTTTTTTCGTTAAAAAAAAAATTTGAAAGTTCAAAATTTTTTGAAAAATTTTTTGAAATTTTTTTAGTTTTTAGTTAAAAAACATAATTTCTTGATAATATGGCAACATATGTATTAGATTAAATTTACAAGAAAGAAAATCCAGAAAAGATTCCAATTTTAATTTTTTTGTTTCTCAAAATTTTAACAAAAAATCATTTTTTTGAAAATTTTCAAAGTACTGGACTTATTTGAAAAACGATAAAGAGAAAATATGTTTCTTTTATCGAGATATACCGCCTCTTAAAATACTTGCACTTATTTCTGGGACATCCATAGCATTATGTTACACCCATAGCACTTATTTCTGGTACACCCTGTATATATTCTTCTACTATTTCCAGTGTTGTAATATTTATTAGAATGTCTTTTCTTTTCCACTAGTAATAATTGCACATTTTCCACCACTAATAATAATTGTCTAACCGAGAAAAAAATGCTTAACGTTTCAGGAGGTATATCTCCTCCAGTCGTCATAAGCAAAAAAAATACAAAGAACAAAGGGAAAAACTATTGAAAATATCTAGATATAAACTATTCAAGAACACTTTAGTTAAAAAAACTTACTAAACTAAACAAAAAAACTAAACTTACTCAACTTTTTTTTACTTTAGTTTCGTTGGATCAACGCAGGGGTGTTTACAAAAAATAATATTTTTATTTTGTAGATTTTCTTCTAGTGGCGAGAACAGACATTATTTAAAATCACTATTTGATGCACAGGGTGTCTCAAATTCGGGGGCGATGAACGCTTTCGAATACTACAACCTTCGAATTTGAGACACCCCGTACTAAAAAAAATATTTCAAAATAAATACATTTTCGAATACTATATTACTTAAAAAAATACACACAAAAATCTTACATGTCCTTCTTCCTCTTCCTGTTCCAACACTCGACATCTTTCATACTTATCCATTACGTTCCGTATATCTTGCAAAATTCCCTGGACGATATCACTAGGATTCGACTCGGGTATAGCTAGGGGATTAGCCAATAACCTGAGGCCATGCAATCCTTGCAAGACTGTGGACAGTGCTCTGTCTTTTGAAGCTTTAGCTTGTCTATAGGCCTCAGATCGTTTCCTCTGTGTCTCTATTTCCGACACTAGTCGTTCCATTTCGCCAGATTTTCTGTAAAGAGATTGATGTTGATTGTTGATGACTATGGGGGAAGTCTGAAAAGTTTTTAACCACACTATATATACGACAACAAAATCTAAGCAGTTTTTATTTGCGCATCTCTAAAAAATCGCCCACCCTAACATTTCAGCCCTCTTTATATAGTCGCCTGATGCCAACGATTGCCAAGAAAATATATATGTAATTCCAACAGTGATAAACTCCTCGAAGAAATGGCTAGAAAAAAGGCTAGAAAAGTGATGGCTATTGGTTTTTAGGGTAACTGTGAAATCATAATAATCAATTATTTTTAGAAAATGAAAACCATTCCACATTAAGTGACAAATTTAAATGCAGAGATCACAACTAGAAGGGTGCATCTGTGCTGAAAAGAAACTCTTACTTTACCAAGACAATGGACTATCACACCTCTTTAAGGCTCTAAAGAAAATTCACTAGTTACAGCTTGATTCTAGCGACATCTTTATATCCCAAAGTTGAAAGTTACACCCTTATCTCAAAGATTTTCGTGTAATGACGAGGTCAGCACTGAACAGCACCTTTGTAAATTACTATTTTGCTGGCAGTCCTGACAGATAAGCTAACTGTTATTTGTTGAAATATTTTTAGAGATTTAAAAAATGTCTATTATTGTGAGAGGTAAAAAACTTTTAACTAATGTCGTCTTTATACCGGGTGCGTCTCAAAAGTGTCTCTCACTCCTATAACTTTTTTACATACATAAAGACAAAAATTAGGATTAATTGACGTATTTAATTGTCTTTGGTCATTTCCTGTTTCACCGGAAATGACTACAACTTTTGATTTCTAAATGTTACCCTCTGTATATTTCTACTTTATTGGATAAAAAATGACACTCTGAATAGAATGACATTTTCGCATATGGTTTATTTGAAATTGTAACATACGGTTAATAACGACACTTTGACCCGAAATACCAAGTGTGTGGTATCAAATTACTCGTAAAAATTGCTAATGAGTCACCCTTGTTCTATTTGAAAAAATTGAGATATGATTAAAAATACGATTTGGGCATCTTTTAACCGACCAGGACAAGACACGAAAAACATTAGACAGTCGAATCTATTTTTCCAAGATTCCTTGATTAAAAAATGGTGCTTTTCACACAGCTAGATTTAAATTTAAAATACGATTTTTTTTAAAGCGAAAATGTCAAAAGTTGACATATGATATGTAATTCTACTCGGAGTGTCATTTTTATCGAATAAAATAGGAATATAATACCGAAGGTGCCATTTAAAAATCAAAAGTTGTAGTCATTTTCGCTGAAAAAGGAAGTGACCAAAAATAATTGAATACGTCAATCAATCCTAATTTATGTCATATACTAACATACCAAATCTCGTTTTTTTTTATCTGAAAAAATAAAAAAGTTATAGGGGGTGATCAACTTTCGAGACACACCCGGTATACCATAAAGTACCGTATGATAAAAAAAACGGCGTCAAAGAAGGCTGATGAGATAACAATCGATAATAATTTTGGCAAGGTCAATCTCTAGACGTCGCGTCATTTACTAAAAATTGACATAAAACTTGTCAAAAATTAACACTAATTAAAGAAAGATTTAAAAAGGGTAGAACGTTTTCAGACATATAAATCTATTTCCAAAGAATTATTTTTTCTCGAATTTTAAACTACACCATTTAAAAATCATTTTTACACGGTATAAAAATAAATTACAATCTTCTTAAGGCCAACTGGCAGTAAGAGCCATTAAAAAATAATTAAGAGAATACGAGCAAACTAAATAAATGACGTCTAGAGCTTGAGACTCGCCAAAATTATCATCGATTGTTATTCCCCAGCTGTCTCTGCCGCCGTTTTTTTTTCGATCGCATGGTAGTATATACTATACCTTTCAGCTTCCTTCACTTCAGAATACTTATATCCCTCTAATTTATTCTTTAGCGTTTCCACAGTTTTCTCCATAGTCTTTTTCTCGTTTTCCGACTTCTGTCTTAGTTCGTTCAGTCTCTCCTGGGTGTCTCGTTGAGCCTGAAACCTCTCCAACACTTCCTGAGATGTAGAACCTCCCGTAGCTTTCTTTAGTTGCTCGAACTCTTGTGCTATCGCTTCCACCGGATGTTGAAGAGGTGTTGAACCGTCATCTTCGCCATCGGCTTCCGCTCCTTCTGGCACTGGTCTCGGTGGTAGTTTGCCACTGAGAAATAATCGTTTCTCCAACTTTTCCAGTTCATTCTTAAAGGAAAACAGAAAAAAGATAAATATGACAAATAATAGGTCTAGGTAACCATACAGCGACTCAGGTAAAAATAATTGGATTCTTTTAAACTATACTTATTAGATAAACATAAAACTAGTAAACCATAAAAAATGTCCTACCTTACGTTCACTAACCAATCGTCTTCCTTGAGCTGCTTCTGCTTCTCTCTGATTGGCAGCGGATGATGCTATTTTTTCTTCTCTTAAGAGATTACCTCGTGCTTTGCCTCTGCGCTTCGTAGTTTCTTCCATGATCTACAAATTTGCAAAAATTGGTATATCTCTTGTATACAGGGTGCTACAAATTCGAGGTACGAGTATTGGTATCTCGGTAACCGTAAAAGATACAAACATGGTTAAATTGGGGCAAAGTTGCGCTTTAGCATGTTCGCCAAGATGCCATCAAAAAAGTTTTAAAAATTTCAAAGATTGTTGAGTTTTTTGGAAAAAACGGATTTTTCTGAAAATTAATTTTATTTTTTCCTGTCGTCACTTCTTAGAAAATCTGATAAATTTCTGCGATAGGGAGAAAATTTCTGCTTTCGAACATAGTTTCTGTGTTTCTGAGGTCAAAATATTTTGTAATATTTTATTAAAATTCAATAACAAGATTTTATATCATTGACAATATTCTTAATATACTCGTATCGTAGGCAATAAGTTTGGTTCATTGTCAAGAATAACAAATGTAATCAGTAATTATTATTACAAATATCGAAAAAAAGAAGAGTGGTAAATAGTCTGTTTTCAATTTGATTAACGACCTTTTGAAGTTTTTCAATGTCACAGCTTTGACCTTCCAGATTCCTCTTCGAGAGCTTTGATCGTACTTTCAAATTTGGAAGCATCATCTTTTAAAGACCTTTTGATATCATTGTATTTATTCCTTATATGGACTGCCTCTCGGATTTGAACTTCAACTGCATGAATACTGTTCTGAATTTCGCTAGCCGACTACAAAAAATAGAAAAATGATGTGTTCAGAATTCTATGCAGAATATAATAATAATTTATCAGAAAGGAACTCTATAGTTAGGTGAAACACTCTGTAGATGACTACTATTTTACCTTTTTTAATGGTTCTTCAACTTTCTTTTGCAACTCCTTTTTTTCTTCTTTGCTGACTAGTTTGTGATAGTCTGTTCCTAATTCTGTAATGTACTTTCGTCTCTGTAACATATTGTTAATTTAAAAATTAGTGTTTAAATATACAGGGTGTGGAATATACAAGTATTTTAACTTTTAGTATATTTTGGAACACATAAACATGCCTATGAGGTTTAGAACATATTGTAATTTTCTTCACAATTTTCAGGAAATTTTATATTAGATAAAATTTTTGGTACCGCAGGTTAATTTTTTGACATTTTTTTGACAGTGTATCGAATCCTTGCAATGTACGTTACTCAGATTCTACATATTTATTTGTACGAGTGTGTTTGTGTAAAATACAGAATAAAATACAAAACTTAATTTTAATTTATTTGTGGTATTAGAAAAACACACTGGACTTTTTTAGCACACAATAATAAATTTTTACAGTTATTTTCAACTAAACTGAAAAAATAAATCTTGATATTGTAGATCCTCTTATAGTAATATTACGAAGTATTTTCAATTAAGTTAAGGGTATACTTTTTTGATGTGGCAACACAGGGCTTTGGATAAGCTGGGGGCCGGTTGATACCGGCGGTTCCCAAAATGTAATGTAAATGTTAAATTTTTCTAAGTTAACTTGGATATTTTCAATTTGTTTTAAAAAATTCTTTTGTCCAGATCTGTACCTACACTACTGCTTAAAATACTTGCACTTATTTAAGAAATACCCTGTATAATATTTAAGAATAATTATTACTTTTTTCATTTGGTATTTCAATAGATCTAATTGTTTACATTTGTCGATTATGTGTAAATCTAGCTGTTCCTTTACTTCAACGCATGTTTTGTCAGTTAGGGGTCCTACAATTTCTTCAATTCGCCTAAAAATAATAAACTTACATTGCTACAAGCTACAAATAATCACCTACTTGTTAAATGTATTAGTTTAGTTATACCGGGTGCGTCTCGAAAGTGGTTCACCCGTATAACTTTAGATATTATTTTTTCAGATAAAAAAAGGAGATTTTGTATGTTAGTATATGATATAAATTAGGATTGATTGATATATTCAATTGTTTTTGGTCGCTTCCTGTTTCACCGGAAATGACTACAACTTTTGATTTTTAAATGACACCCTCGGTATATTTAAAAATATACCGAGGGTAAACGAATAAAGTAAACTTTATTCCATAGAAAATGACACTGTGAATAGAATGACATATACTCTGTTTTTTTTCTCAGGTAAGATTTCGACAGACGATGACAGATGAAAAGCAGATGACGTCCCATACATTTTTGACGTTTGTCAAAGTCTTGCCAAACTATAGGTTATAATTTTGTGACAACTTTTGTCAAATACCCTGCGTTTTGAAAGATGGTGCATTTTGATTCGTGTTATTACGTGTTTTGTGTCTTTTGAAGTCAAGTGGAGGGAAAATCGAGTGAAAATTAACTGTAGAACCCAGGACGGACGCCGATGCGTATGAACTCGCCTTTAGATTTTTGACGTTTGTCAAAGTCTTGCCAAACTATAGGTTATAATTTTGTGACAACTTTTGTCAAATACCCTGCGTTTTGAAAGATGGTGCATTTTGATTCGTGTTATTACGTGTTTTGTGTCTTTTGAAGTCAAGTGGAGGGAAAATCGAGTGAAAATTAACTGTAGAACCCAGAGCACAGTTTATGGTTAATACTCGCCGCCCAGGCAGAAAGTCTTATACAGATACACCAATAAAGTTACTATCAATAAAGTTCGTATACCATCTCGTCGTAGATAAGTGCATCTCGAATATGGTAGAAGGACCATACTAAACACATACTAAAAACTGGAGTAGTTGTAAAATATCGACATCACACGATAGGTAAATAATGGATTTTAGTACTGCAGAAAAATAATGTCGAAAGGTACTGGTTTAAAAGAAATAAGATTAAAGTTAATTAATCAACCTGTGAGGTATAAAATTTGGTAAGTGTTTTTCTTAATAAAGTAGTTTGTTTTATTTATGTTGTTTTATTTATTCCTGCGGAATATTACAAATTTGTATTTGTACATAAGTTATATTGATAAAATATAATCATAAATGCGGGAAGTTTCATAAAGCTTGAAAGTAAGAAATAGTTCTTTTTTATATTTTTTGGTATGTGGTGTCTTGTTTTTGTTTGTTTTGTATTAACACATACCGTTTTTTATTAAATAAAATAACTCGATTACATTTTTTCAGTTTTATACAGTAAATACATATATAGTAATTTCCTGCTATGCGTTCCAGTTGTACCAACTTATTTCTTTGTAAAATAAAGTAAACTACTTTGAAATTAAAATGACAGACACATCTATCACTGTCAAGGATCTTCTCGTTGGACAGACTATATTATATATTAACTTTTGACATTTTCGCTTAAAAATAAATCGTATTTTAAACTTCAAACTAGATTGGCATGACTATGTTAAAAGCACTAATTGGAGCCTTAGAAAAATAGTTTTGATCGTTTAATGTTTTTCGTGTCTTGTTCTGGCCGGTTAAAAGATGCCCAAATCGAATTTTTAATCATATCTCAATTTTTTCAAATGGAACGAGGGTGGCTCATTAGCATATTTGGAAAAAGCATATTTTACGAATAATTTGATACCACACACTTGGTATTTCGAGTCAAATTGTCGTTATGAACCGCATGTTACAATTTCAAATAAACCAAATGCGAGTTGACATATGATATGTCATTCTATCCAGAGTCAGAGTTTCATTTTCTATCGAATAAAGAAAAAAAATATGTTAATTATTTTTGAAATTTAGTTAAGCTGGTTTATGTTGTTTCATATGAATTTTAAGTTACCTATTTTTTTTATTCGCTGGTCTTCACGTTAATTTTCTCATGATTGGTTACTTAATAAATTTGATATTATTTCCATCAAAAAAACTCAATTTTTATCGATTTTACTTTTGAAAAATATGTTTTGCTTTTTGATTGACGAACTGTACCACCATTGAACAAAAATTAGCTAGTACTGAAAGTACCGAGAAAACCGGGAAATCCCGGTTCCTTAATGGCTTGGTACCGAAATTTCCGGTTCCGAAAAACAGGTTCGATTGAACAAACTGATAATTAAATAAGATTAGGTTTTCAACAATTAATGTAAAGCTTCTAGAGTACCTAGGTACTATTACTTTACCTGTCTTTCAGGTGGTACTTTGCCGTGGGACTTCTGCTTTCGTGTAATACAGTTATCAAACCAGATATTTCTTTTTTCAGTTTTATAATTTCATCTGCATTTGATTTCCGTTCGGCTTCACAGTCCTCGAACACTGCCCTTCTTTGGCCCTCTAAAATATAAGATTATATTTAGATTAACCTTTAGTTTTGTTTTCAATGTATAAAGAACTAACATCACCTGATAATTGTATTTTCTTTTTGATTTCCGCAATTTTCTTGTTTAGTTCTGGCATCTTCTCTGTTTTATTTTGAAATAAAACTTAAAGCAAGTAGGAATTTACTGGGGAAAGTATTGATCAAGCATCAGTATCTATGGAGTTTCCATAGAGAAATAATGCTGAACTTTGATTTATAACAATATAGCAACAAAACAATTTATTAGTAGGTGTTGGTAAAATAAAATCTTAATTTAGTTTGTAATGAATTTTTTAGTCTACAGAGGGTCTACAGGGTGTCTCCTTAATAAATGCAAGTATTATATCTAGTTCGAACCCAGAAAACGCTCATGAGGTTATCTTTGTAAAATAAATTGTTGAAAAATTTACATTTTCAGAGAACTTAACTGAAAATATAAATCTAAACAATTTGAAGATTTTCTACGAAGTATTTTCAATAAAATCAAGTATGCAGCGTCCTAGAATAAAAAACCGGGAATTTTGTTTAAGTGCAAACCTAAAGTACGCACTACGATGTATTTCAGGAAAATATTTTAACTTCTATAGGGTGGCTCAAAAAAGTGTTAGTGGCTCGGGATACTTTTTTTAAATGGAACACCCTGTATATTATTGCATTTTTGGCTTTCTTTTCAGATCGCTTTTCATAATCCTAGGATATGAGTAAATATATTTCGATAGTTTCGAAATATATTTAGAGATTAATTGTAAAATTCATAAAATCAATAAAATGAAGAATATACGAAATAATATACATGTTCTGATTTCTTTCGAAAATCGATATCTATGAGACTATGAACCCTTCCTGGTCACAAACGGTACATTGTGAGACAGGAAATTGTAGAGAGAAACAAGCCCTATAACATAGGATACAACATTTTAATGAACAGTGCTTTCCATAAAACCAATAAAATGAAGAATATACGAAATAATATACATGTTCTGATTTCTTTCGAAAATCGATATCTATGAAACTATGAACCCTTCCTGGTCACACAAACGGTACATTGTGAGACAGGAAATTGTAGAGAGAAACAAGCCCTATAACATAGGATACAACATTTTAATGAACAGTGCTTCTATAACACATTAACATATAGAGATATTAATAAATAAATAAAAAATATATATATTTTTAGCCTTTTTTAAAAAATTATTTAAAATTCAAGAACTGTCCTGAAATCAAAACTGTACTAGATATTTAATTTAGATGGTCTGTACTTACTTTGCTATAAATATGGTAATATATGGGTAGGGTAATAGTAAATCATACAGGATGTTTAAAATTCTAAGCCAAACTTTCTAAAAATTTCATTTCAAATAGGTATTGGAAATATATTATTTTTCCTCGTTTTTTTTAAGTGGAATATAATTATTATTTCAATAGATGGAGAATTAAAACATGAATATTTTTTCTATTTAGAGTATTTCAAATTTTTCAACGGTTTTGACGGTCGTGAACTACCACTCTTTAAAATACTTGCACATATTTAAGTGACACCCTGTATAACTTAAAAAGAATTATTTAATGTATTAATGCAGCTGACTATTTTACATTTTTGGAGAAAATCCTTCTACAAATGAATATTGATATTTGTATATAAACTTCTTAACAAAACAGAAAGTTCAATAAAAATACTGAAAATCCATTTCAAATATGTATTGGAAATATATTCAAATAGTTTTGACTCACTTGTATACAAAAAAAATGCAATAAAATATTGTTGATAACTATTCTTTTACAATATAATACATATATTTGTTTTAATTTTTTATTCTTAATCGGTTTTAGTATATTTTTCTCATAAGATAGATTTTTAGGATCATTTTAAAAAATAACAAAAAAAAGAACCAACAAAAATTATTTAATGTATCCTCGGCAATTTTCTAAGAAAAAGAGTGACAGTAAAGAAGTTTTTCTCAAATTTTAATCGTTTATCCATAATTTAACCCGAAAAAATACTATATGTATAACACAAAAAGTTCCGTCAGTAATTTTAGCTGGAAAAATAACCCAAAAAAAGTTTGAGAACTGCAGCCTAATTTTTCGTGATTACTAAAATCAGTGCATCTAAAACAGTTTAGACATTTTTGAAAGGGTATGTTCCCGATTTACGTTAGAATTCTTAAACATGGTAAAAATTAATTCTAAGTTACAGATATTTTAAACAAATATAAAAGTAGTGTCGGAATATAAAATAATTCATATTATTTGGCATGACATTTTTAAAGAAAATACTTTGATGATAAAACGGTGACGTATTCAAAATCATGATAATAATATAATAAAAAAAAATATTATAAATAAATAAAATGAAGGGATATCACTCAAAACAAGATCAAACAGTGTAATGAACTGACAAGATCTGAAGTCCTGTGAGAAGTACAAAAAAATGGCTCATTGTTCTAATGCTGCGTTCTAAACATTAGTCCTAGTTCTAATAAAACCTAGGAAATACAGGATACTTATACAATATATTATAAATACTTATACAGATCCTAGGGGATACAGGGACTAATGTTAATACCAAATTAATTTTCACACGACCAATAATAGGGCTTTGATAAATCTTAAAATAATATTTGAAGTTTATAATAATTCTCTATTCTTAATAAGGTAATGATTATTTTTTTACAAACAAAATAAATAATTTCATTTGGGAAATTCTTTCCAACAGAGACATTACATTTTGCGCATAAAAAACCATTTTGTGTAAGAGTGTGAACGATATTTCCTTCAAGTATTAGGACTTCTGTTTTAGTACTAATGCTAAGAAGTGAAACCTAAAGTATGAAACAACTATTAGACCCCTTCGTTTTCTGCACAAGAAGTATTATGAACTAGTTCAACTGTTCTGTCGAAGAAAATAACTATTTGACATAAACAAATATTGTGAAGTCACGTCTTAAACTGTCGCGAGAAAAGTCGTTCTTCGGTAGCCGATCTCGCACAAGCTTCCAAAGCATAAACCTACCGGTGTTAGCCGCTCATTAACTAATTCATAATAAACGTAAATGCAATCTCCACATTCCTATTCATAATTCGCCTGTATAACCTCTGTTCAGTCTGTTCGGTACCACCAGTGCATCTCAAAAGCCCCGAGGCACTCTAGACGAAGAAGTCCACCGCTATTGGGCCGCGGTTAGAGGGGAGAGGGACATTCCAACGTGTTCAGCGAAAAGTAGCACCAACAAACCGTTCTCACGAGAGCTTTCGAGCTTATTAGATCTAATTTCGGTCTTTTCCACCTTGGTACTAGATATACGAAGCCTGTTAATGGATATCTTTGAATATTTCAGTCAGGAAAGCGTTTAGAAGTACGAGAAAAGTCACAGGTTGTTTCTGGTCGTCGGCGTAGGAAGACGGGAACAATCAGGTCGGCCATTTTGGTTCTCCGGACCTACCGTGCCCCACCACTCTTAATAGTGATCTTACCGCCGTACTGTGCGTATGTTTGACCTTTTGACGCGCGCGCTGCTCAAATTTATCCCAATTTTCACTGGTTTTCGTGCGATTTTCGACGGGAAAACTGTCAAAACTTGTACCGGACTGTTTCTAACATGAGTTAGGCTCGGTAAGGAAACGTTACAGTGCGGTTTTGTGTGCGTTAAGGCGGATTTTTCTTCGTTGTGTTGTTGACAGGATACGAGACGGTGCTGTATGTACCTTTTTACGGGATAGGTAGACAAAAGTGATACTGTGCCCCATGTGTGGGACAACAGCTGGATCAAAATGTGGATTAATAACGTCAAGAAGAAGGAACTGTGGATTATAACCGTTGGATTTTTCTTGGCGATTTTGTTTGTGCCGCAAACAACAGGTGCGCTTTTTGTCTTTCTTTGCGCGTTTGTGGTATTAAAACAAACCTAAACCGTTTTAAACGTTTGTATTGTAGGAAATATATTAAAATTCGGGTAAACTGTAACTCCTGTCGTTTGTTTTTGTTATTAATTCACTTATTTCTGCCAAAATTTGTTTTAACCATGAAATTAAACTTACGTTTGCAAGCTTTTGAGGGACGAACAAAATAAAAATCGTGAAACATTTGATAGTTAACCCTTAAAGGTTGTTTTTGTTGTATTTCTTATTCAAAAAATGCACAAATGCTTCATGTCAATCTTTTTAAATGAAAATAATGTTGTACCTTCGGTTCCTTCAAAGGCCTATGTAATCCTATTCATTTTTAAGCTTTATTCTAAGAGATTATTATCGTTATTATCTTTTACGTACATTGACTCTTTTTTTTTATAAATATTTTCATTGATTACTTTGATAGATAAATGCTAATTACTCGGTAAATAAACGAGCTAATTATTAGATATCAATGGATTTATCAAATTCGAACATAATCTTTTCATAAAACTATTATAAATAAATTAGGATGCGTTATTCATATTGTTGACATTTGCGTCGATAATTTTCGGGATCGGTTACAACAATTAACGGTAAATATTTATTTATTCTTACGACGCGATAATACATTAATCAAATAAGAACTTTTTTCTGAAAATATTGCCTATAATAGAGGTTGCATTAGAAAAAGCTAATACACTTGGCAACAGTGTTATAAAAACAGTCGCATCATTACTACCTAAGCCACCCTATAGATTGAGGGTCGTTCTTTACCGTTGGTTCTTATCGGAGTGAAATGCGTTCGCTCGCAGACGGGGGTTAATAAAAATTATTTAGTCTGAGCGGTCCGAATTTTTTTTTTGCGGGCGTCTATGAATTTCTGTACTATGGCCTGTTTTTACTTGATGTTTTTTATTGTACATTATTAAAATATAAATAATGTTATGGGGGAAATAAATGTAGACTTGTAGACTGCATTAAATTGACCATAGATTTTAGATATTGATGTGGTACAAATTAATAGAAACCCGGGCAGAAACTTCAAACAAATAATATAAATAAACAAATCTTGTACAACGCGAATGTTCCCAAGATATCCACCAAGTATAAACAGAAAAATGCTAGGTTGCCGCTTATTAAAAAGGTCATTAACGAAGATTTATACTATTATTATATAATTATTATAGTTTTTTATTAAATTACAAAAAATTTTTTGCCACACTCATGAAAAATCCTCTGAAAATCATATGTTTTCAGCTTTCAAAGTTCAATTTGCCCACAGTTTATTTACAAGTAAAGGTCTTTTTGATTTGTTTATTTTTTTAATTTTTGTTATATTTTTGTAAAAATTCTGTGCATAGACTATACCGGGTGCATCTCAAAAGTGGCTTACATCTATAAATTTTTTATTTTTTTCAGATAAAAATCTCAGATTTAAGTGTGTGGTACCAATTTATAAATTTATTATATTAAAAATGTCCTTTCCAAATATGCTAATGAGCCACCCTCGTTCCATTTGAAAAAATTGAAATATGATTAAAAATACGATTTGGGTATCTTTTAACCGGCCAGGACAAAACACAACAAGCATTAGACGATAAAACCTATTTTCCCAAGACTCCTAGTTTGACTTTTAACTCTAGGTTAAAATTTAAAATACAATTTTGCTTTAAGCGAAAATGTCAACAGTTTACATATGATATGTAACATTTTGTATATAGGTGGTAATCTATAAGTAATCAAATATCAATTTGCTGTTTTCAACCATACGGGGGGCAATTTAAATTTAGTGAAATTCTATCATTTATTATGGTTAGTTAACATTAATATGATTTATTTAATTATCATCAGTTTCAAAACTGCGTATAATATTGGTATATAATACACTAAATATACGAATATTCTGACAAAAGACGCTACGGACAGATGACCTTTTCTTAGTCGTTAAACACTCGAAATGCCATTAAATAAGTATTTACAATTATTTCATGTTTACTTGTACTGAATTACGCGTTTCAATTTAAAATTTTTGCAAATTTGGTAAAAATTGTTCTAAACAACTTTTTGTTCAAGTTGTATATTCATAAAAAACATTTGGTTCATAATTATTTTTGATGATTACCTACCTTGAATTTTTAATATAAACCTAGAAGAGTATGTTTCTGTTTTATTTTTTTTATTCGTCCCTTCAAATTGTGTTACAAAAACTGTTACATAACATGTCCTCTAACAAATATTTTCATAATACATAAACATCATTGATTTTATTAAGGGTATTATTATTAGTATTTACCCCCTGGTTTTTGTCGACAATAAAAACTCAATCTTGTAATAGAACATCAATTTTATATTTCGTAAAATTATTTTGATACAAATTCAATTTGTCAAAATTCAAGTCATTAATATATTGATAAACAACCCAAATTATTCCTAAATATTTTATTATAAAAAAAAACTGTTACCGGTAACCGGTAAGTTTGTAAAACACATTACGGTTTGTCTTAATACTAGAAAAAATCATTTATTTTTTGCACAAAAGAAGCTTGTCGATCCTTATTTGTCCATAACAAAATTCTGTATGTACAACATACATATACCTAATTTATTATTAAGAAAATAAGATTATATGATCTCAGAATTTTAAGAAAATTTTTTTAAGATAAAATAGTTTCTTCTAAACTGTAATACTTTGGCCTGTATTTTATCTATTTAAAAACATGGCATTGATAATCCCCATACTAAAATACATACTGGAAGGTACTGATTAAGTTTCCTTGCATTCTTCATATACCTTTGCTATATATCCTGGCTCACAATTTAAGGCCATTGAAAATGCTTTTGAACTTCATCATAGATTTTACAAGAATAAAAGTGTAATATTGAAACAAAGTAACATTGTAAGCTTCATGACAAATAGTCTCATTTTTAACACTCTTTAAATATCATCTCGTTAACAATTATGAATATTATATGATTTTTCTCAGTGATTTGTGGCACAGATACAAATTAATATATGCCCCACAACAGTTTTTAAATAAGAAACTTCTGCCTACAGATTTAATTTTCTTTATTGGCATAATACCCTTTCTTCCTATATAAATCTTGCCATTTTTTCAGTCCAATGTTCCTTGTTTTTACAGTTGTAGGAATACTAAAAATGTTGACTATAGAACTCGATACTATGTTTCAAAAAGCCTTCATACCAGTAACTGTGCATAAATCTAATTAACTGAATTCTCCTCCTCTTGACACTCTGAACACTGCTGCTGCTAATATTAGAAATATTTAGCACCAAACTACAATTACCTACAACAAACTTTACAATAAAAATGTTAAATTTTCGCTATTCGATTGAAATACCCTATCTTATGTTTTCTTTTCCTCCAAATAATCTTCTTGTCAAGTAAGGACCAATCTTATTTGACATATTTCTGGTACACTTGAACTTGTGCATTCATGGACACTATAAGAGTGCACTGTTTTACAGAAGCACGAACATTGATTCCAAGTATCTTCTTCCTCCACACGTAATAAAAACATCCTCTTGAAATGGCCACATCATACACTTATTTTTGACCATTCCCAGTTATTTTTGACCATTCCCAGTTTTGGATCAGCTGTAAACACTATTATGTTGTATAAACTTACACATGAAAACTAATCATTTTTCCCGGCGTATTAGCTTTCTTAGAATGACTATGACAATATACAACAAGCCTTTTTGAATTTGTGTTTAGAATAATTGAGATAATAATAAATTTTAACTAGATAACAACACAAACGAAAAAATAACAAAACAAAGAGATGTCAATTAAAGAGGGGAAGTGACAGCGAGACCTGGAAGATGTCTGCCATCTTGCCGTCGACAAAAATTTGGATGCTATGGATGATGATGCGCACTCGTCGAAGCTCATTCTCCCGCTTCCATATCTCTGGTTAAATTACATGTTGCTGTGACACAAAGTTTAACGGTTTAAGACAGTATTTTTATATCTCCTTTTTCTATACAGGTATACGGTATAATACTAAAAATGCGAATCTAGCGGCCTAGCTACTGACCTATAGTTATATACTTTTTAATTATTAGTATTAAGTTTTAAAGTTGCAAATTATCGTTAAGAACTGTGTAGGAATGAAGGCAATAGTTGGCCAAATTGGAGCGTTCCGTTACACAGTGGTGTCGTTAAAACTTCACAACTTGATGCACGGACTATAGGCGTGTCGTGAGCTGTTCTCCGGGAGAAAGCCTGAGAATGTTACCGATTGCAGTGGATCGAATATTTTCGATTTCTTCGTAGCCGCCGAGAACAAATTATCATAGCAGGAAAAAAGCGATGTAAAACAACATTGTACTTGTATCATTCGCAATCTAGACTACAGCAAACGAAGATAAGGAATAATTAAATATTCCTTGGAATATGTTAATAGTACAATGGAGTAGAATTTTTTTGATATAGATTTTATGAAATTTAGAAAGTAAGAATATTATATCATACAGTTTCCATCTTTGAGAAATGCGATCCATTTTATCACACACTAAACCAGTGAATACAAAACAACAAACAAAAAATGTAATATACAAAATACCATGTGAATGCGATAAATTTTACATTGGTGAAACATCTAGACCCTTAAATGTTAGAATTAAAGAACATAAAGATTATTTAAGAAAGGGAGATTTTCACAAATCTAAGATTTGTCAGCATTCATGGGACACAGGACACAGGGCACAGAATAAATTTTAATAACGCTAAAATTATAATGAAAGAAGCGATAGCCTCTAGAAGAAAGATAAAAGAGGCTTTTACCTAATAAAAATAAATGTATTGCTCATGCATCTGTAGATGTTAGTAATGTATGTATGGCAATCGTTTCTTTGATTTTTAAGAACATTAAAAAAATAAAAAATTAAAAATAATCATACAGAAGCTTTTTGGTTTTACCTTATTAGGTAATTGTTATCAGGTA